GTAAATTTTGAACTTCTAATTCTTGTAGATTTTGTAGTTTGTAATTGCAGAGAGAGGGAGAGAGAGAGGGGGGCAAGTTCCAGAGTTGAGAACGAGAATATAGATGGAGGCGGGTTTTGAACTTCTGATCCTTGTAGATTTTGTGTTTACAGTTGGAGAGAGGGGGGGGCAAGTTCCAGAGTTGAGAACGAGAATAGAGACGGAGGCGATTGGGAGGCTGAAATGATTTGCCTTAAAAAAAATATATTATTATCTCCGTTACAGTGAAAAAAAATGAGCCTGGAACAACATAGAACACCAAATTGTTGTTCCACCTTTTGGGCCAAATATTGGATTTGTTCTAAAAGTGTTCCACTACTGTTGAGAACACAACAAGGCGGGCCAAACAACGTGTGTTCTGAAAATGGTTACTGTAGCACTGTAGGGAACAACACAGAACACTACACTACACTACACAAACCAAACAGAGCCTAAGAGCCGACTTATTATATACTCTCTTCCTTTCATAATAGTTGAGTGTTTTAAAAATTGTGACTCACACTTTCTAAAGTATTCATAATTTTCAAAACTGTCAATTGTTATGGAAGTTGTCCCCCCTTCCTTGGAATTTTCTTGCAAACCTCCCATCCTCTTTTCTTGAATTGTGGGATGGCATTGCGGGTGTATCATTGCTTTCCCAGGAGCGGAAGTCTATTATGGTGGGTCTGGCTTTGTGATACCCCTCGGATCCGAGACACGGGTTGATCAGGCCCAAACCCAAACCCGAGCAATATCAAACAATTAATATTTTAGAACGAACACGGAATATAAGGTGAAATAAGAAATAATATAATAAGCGGAAAGAAACTAAAAGAAAATCCTTGTATCATAATTAATTAAATCCGATGTTCCAAAAACTTCCATAAGTTTACAACTCGGGAATCTATCCATTGGACCCCTTATTAAAAATTCTCAAACCGAAACTGAAATAACTGAAATAAAATCTAAAGCTAACATAAAGAAGATTCCTACGTAGTCGGAGGAATGAATATCTGTATCTGGTCTGCACGTCCAAGCTCTAACCCTGGAACTAACGAATACCTGAAAAATAAAAAGTAGGTCAGGCCCACATGCAAGTCCTATTCTACTACGATCCAAACAGTAATCCGATAAACAGATACATCCTAGAATGACTCAACAATATCTAGAGTAGTCCATATATGTATATATAGTACACACTATAGAACGCTCTCTAGTCCAGTAGGTCTGTCTCAGCCTGAGTGGAGATACCATGCAAATCGCACACCAAGGTGGGCGTGAATACCTAGACCTACCAGGGAACAACATCTATGTCCAATTATCCATCTTAGGTGATATACGCACCCTAACCATGATCCTGAGACTTAAGCCAAAACCATGGCACATAAAATAAATATATAAAGTCCGTACTCCTATCACAAAATATCAGCCATTTGTATAGTGGTCTGATATTTGTAAACACTCCATCCTGAAACCATAGTAGGTCATTCAATTCACAATTGATATGACACATGTAGGTGATGGACTTAACCTTTATGATTAATCCATACCTTAATCCAAATTAGGTAGAACTTAGTGTTTGAATTAGTCCATACCTAGTATGTCACCGTCCCATACCGGTACATACAATCTTCCAGTGAACACAGTTAACAAAACAATATTAAATAGTCATCAACCACACTCCAGAATATGCACAAGATAAATTTAATGCATGTACATAAATATTAGGCATTCATTATAGAGCCCAAAATCCAAATCCAATAATGTAAACTGCTACAATAAATTAAGCAATCACATTTACCAACATAGTCTAGGAATTGATACTGTTAATAGGATTTTAAGTATCAGTTACATCCAAGCTAAGCATAGGAATTTATAGTTAATTCACTATACTTATAATACTATGGAAATATAATTTATATTTATAGTTAAACCATATATAACAATCTTGCTAAGCTCCAGTATATAAACCTAGCAAATCCTCCGACATTGTCCATGAATTGATACAATTTCATAACAATTTAAGTACCAATAAATACAATCTAAGTATAGTTGAGTTTAATTAAGTCGCCATACTTAAAACACTGTAAGAACATGATTTATATATATCATTAAATCATATAATAAAAACTTTGCAAAGTTCCGGAACATAAACTAGCAAAACGGTGTGCATCGTCTAAGTTTTCCTTAAACTTTATATTGCTCCTTCAATTAATCCCATTATAGATTAATGCTCTTCCATACTAAGTTTAGGTCTAAAACAGTTCCATCCAATATTTAAAACAATTTAAACACAATAGAAATACTCAGAATAGTCAAAACGACGCACAAAAACCCAGTTTGCAATCTACCATTTTTCTTTAGATTTATTTTGCTCCATTCCTTAGCTCAATCATGGATTAATGTTTTTCATATTATATTAAGTCTATTATAGTCCCAACACATCAATTAAAATAGTTTAAAAGAGATGCTATACACTGTACAACTTAAACTACGCACAGAAAAAAAAAAAAAAAAAACATACTGTGAGAGTTCTGGACTAGAGTAGGCTCTAAAAAAATTGAGCTTGCTCTTTTATGGATTGAGCTGGCTTTATGGCTCTAAGAGCCAGTTCTAAACAGCCAAGAGCCGGCTCTGAGAATATTAGAGCTGGCTCTTTTCCTTTTTGGAGCCTGCTCTTGCTCCCTTGCATGCCGTTGTCCGTTCCTGCTTCATTTTCTTCAACTCTGATGTTTTCCTAGACCCTCTGTGATGTTTTTAATCCTTATTCTAGGTTCCAACTCAGTCCTAGATACATCTTATATCACCAACATACAACCATAACATGTATTGAACATAACCTTTTAAAACGACGATTACAGAATCTCAGTTATAAACTTAAGCGATTCAAAACAGATTTCTTATGTGAAAATTGAATACTGTTTTTAATACTTATTTCAGAGTTCAATCTTAACCCCAGATTAATGTCTAGTCCTCAATACATAATCATGAACCCCATTTAATCAAAGCTTAACATAAACACCGAGAAGAAACAAATAACAGAAACATCAAGGATTAGGCAAACCAGATTATCAACGAGACTGAATAAAAATCATATATGCATAAAAGACTTGTTATTACTTTTATTTAAGTCCGTTTTAATCTTTATTTAAATCCCTGGAGTCCAACTAAGCATGCACAGAATACGAATTAACAGGAAAGAGAATAACAGAGACTTGTCTCTGCTTTCCGGTTGGAAATCTAAAACTGTCGTCTCTAGCAACTCTGGCGACGTCAATTGTTGTTATCAACCTCTATCGCTCCTAGTTAAATCCAGAACTCCTCCTTGAATCCCTCCCTTAATCTCTTAAGGTTCTCTCAGTATTTTGTCTCACAAAACACACTCAGTTGCTCTCTGTATTCCCTCTGTATTTTATGTACGTGAATATGGTGAATAGGGTTTACAAAAACCCTTAGCAGACGTATACTTATGTATTTATAGGCTTAAGTTGAAACCCTAAATTAAATCCTAAACCAACTACAAGTCAGCTCAAACCCAGACACTATGTAACACATAAAACCCTAATTACCAAAATAGTGAATTCACATAAGCACATAATTAATTAAACTTAATAAATACATTTAAATTTTGAAACAAACCAAAATACAATTTAAGCAATTAATTAAAGAAAACACAATTTAAAACAATTAATGAAAGAAAAACACAATTAACACAATTTAAAAACAATTAATGAAAGAAAAACACAATTAATTGAATTAAAATAAAATAAATCATATAAGCAAATAATTAATTAATTAAAATAAGCAAATACTCAATTAATTTAATAAAAATGTAATAAATAATTAAATTAAATTTCAAGACTGTCCTTTTAAAATTAGTGGTATTACAGGCTTCATTTTGTCTATGGGCGATTTGAAATACTCGAAATAAAATAATTTTTGAGTAGACAGAATGAAATCCTTTGGTAGTGGTAAATTTGGCCTCAACTAGATTTTGGGAATTTGTTAATGTGTATAAGAAATGTCAACTAGTCATTCATCTCTCGCAGCGGACTGATGCCCCTTCCCGCTGGAATCGACCAGTGCATGGTGTTGTTAAATGTAATGTTGATGCTTCTTTTTCGAAACTTTCTCAGCTGGGAGGTGAAGGAGTGTTTCGGAATTCCTCAGGTTTGGTTCTTCAAGCGGTAATTTTTAAGCCTTTTGTGTCTTCGTCCGTGCTAGAGTCGGAGTTTTTTTGCTTTAGCCGTGCTATCTTTTGGGCAAGAGTGTTTAAATTTTCAGTGATTTGTTTTGAGTCGGATTCTAAAAAGGTGGTGGATGCCGTTGAAAGAGTTTGTTCTAGTGAGTAATGATGTTTCAATTGTTTCTTTAGTCTCTGAGATCAGACAAGAGTTTCAATATTTTTCTGAACGACATGATAATCGAGTGACAGATGCTCTTATTAGGCTCTCAAAGATTGGTATGTCTACGGATTTGGTGCTTGCCGCTGTTAAGTTTGTGGAGCTGGATCTCTTGGGGGGTGTTGTTTTCGTGGGTTAGTGTTGTCAGAAAAAAAATAATAATAATAATAAATAAATTTATGGAACAGGAAAAGTAAATTTTTTTTTGGGTGAAAAATATGTTCACTTGGGTCAACGACGTCGTGGGCACACCCGGAGGACAATCATATTTCCCTAGAAACTTGAATTTTACCGAAAAAAGTTGGAAACCTAGCCGGCATAACCTACATGCCACAGAAAATACTTTTACTGGGATGTAATATTAATAAACAAATTTTCAGTTAATTTTTTCGAATAAATTATTCAGTGCATTCGAGACAGAATACTGTATCTAATTGACAATAGATTGCGGGAATGCTCAAATTTTTTTTGACACCACGACGGTCTAAAAATAAAAATAAAATAAAATTATATATATATATATCAACAATAGTTGCAACTATGAATGCAAATGTGTAGAACAAACCTTAAAGTCTTTTAGAGCTTCAACTTTTTTAACGCACACAATTGTAACTTTTTCTCCCACCCTCTTTAACTCTCTCTCCCCAGATAACATGATGGGCCACTGATTTCTCCCTCTCTGTGTATGTACTATGTACTGGGTATGTATTTATATTTTCTCTCTCTCTCTAGTCTCTACTACTCACACCACAGGAAACAAAACTGCAACTCCATTTCTCTCACTAGAAATCAATTAACGCCTCTCCTTAAAAGCCCTCTGATCTACGGTGTGGACAGATAGATTGCTCAGGAATGTAAAAGGAAACCTCCTGAAGAAGGTAAATGTTTGTTTTTGGCAACCCTAAGTATAGCTGTAGCTATTATATATATATATGAATTTTCCACTGTCTAGAAACATGTGCAATGGTCCATATATGTACCTTTAGTTCATCTTTAGATCCATGACGGTTGCAATCAATCTTTTCTTTTGAAGATTATTAAGGCTTTCGGATCCTTTTCTCTCACTTGGGTTGTCTTTGCTCTGTTTTTTTTTTTAAGGGTTTTGGACTCTGCTCTTCTGCTTTGGTAAATAATTTTTTTTAAAAATTTTTTTGTGGTGTAGTCGATCGTTCAGTGAAATCTGGGCAGGTGTTCTTTTTGCATTTTGTTCATTCTTGGTAGTTTTTCTTTAGGATCTATTAGTAGTTGTTTGATCTTTTTTGTTTTACAGTTGCTGTTTAACTTAGTTTTGCTGTATAAGTGTTTGACTAGATAACCAAGGTGATAATATAATCGGTATAATTTCCCATGATTTTGTTTCTGATGTTCTATTCCTGCTGTCTAATCTAATAAATTTGCATAAGCCTTTTTCATTTTTTTCTAAACTGTCTGTGTGGGCCAAATAATTGTTATATGCAGTCATTTGGGTGGTTTTGTAATATATTTTCCTGTTAATTTCATTTAGGTATGTGTGACCTGATAAATTGTGATGTGGATGTTGTGAATGAAATTGAGTTAATGTTCTATGCTAGTTCTTAAATTGTCATTTGATATTGTAAGTCTCTCTTTATGTTGGTTTTTGTAACTTTTAGTACTTAAGCCATGTTTTTAATTGCAAAATTTAGAGATAATTTATGTGGTTGTTGTTTTGTTGAATCAGGTAGAAGTCTGAGGTGCAGTTTGATGAGGAGTTTTTCTGGCAATATATGTTTATGGGGAGTTTGTTTTATGGGTTCTGTTATTCTTTATCCTGAAATTTTACTTTTGGGCCGAATTTTCTCTTGAACATTAGCTTGCATGAAGAAAAAATTCAATAGTATACGAAAATAATCCAACATTGGGATGAAGGTGATTTTGATATTGAGCACAACTAGCGTTAAGATTTTTCTCTGTCAGCTGTTGTCATGTGATTAGAAGTATTACCAGGGAAGCTATAAATTTTCATCTAGGCAAGGGACCTGGCTCCTATATTTCCCTGGCTATGTCAGAATATGGTTAACCATTTATGTTGCTAATGCCATGTTAGATGACTAATGAAGGTTAGCGGAAGTATTTTTGCAGTAAGCAGCCATGTAATTTATTGGGTTTGATAGTCAACCAGAATTTTTGCAGTTGCTTGGAAGTGTTAATTAACTATCAGACTCGAGCTCTGAATTCCTATTTATCTAAAGAATCAACAACATGGCGACTGAGATTTTTACTGCTAACCAAAAGTCAAACATTATTCAACGGTTGCTCCCTGCTGTTGTGCCCGTGCTCTTTATTGCAATTGGATATGTTGACCCAGGAAAGTGGGCTGCTGTTGTTGACGGAGGAGCCCACTTTGGGGTTGATTTGGTTGCACTAATGCTTGTTTTCAATTTCACTGCTATTCTCTGTCAGTACCTGTCAGCTTATATTGCTGTGGTCACTGGGAGAGGACTTGCCCAGGTAGTATTCTTTATCTTCTAGATTCTGTTTATCATGAAGTTTATCGCTCTTTTGTATTATTTTGGTTTCAGTCTTTCTATTTTTGTATCTTTTCTGACTGGACTGTAAAAATGGATTCCTGTAGCCAACCCAAGTAATTGGGAGAAGGTTTTGTTGAGTTGTTCTGATTGGATTGCAAGAAAATTTTGAGTGTGAGAATTAAGTATGTTAATATGACATCTCTTGTTTTTTACTATTACTTTATAATCAATACAGTTTCTCAACGTCAAGATAAGTAGAACTAAGCATGTCATTAATCATTTTAAACCCTCACTCTGTATTTTGTAATCAAAGTAATCATATATGTTACACAGAGTGAAACCATTTTGATTGTAGTGTTATGGAAATTTTGTTTATTGAACCCATATTATTTTTCATATAGTTGAGACAATGCCTTAATGAGTTGAGTTGGAACTAATTTGTCCAACTAGACTGGTAATTTTTGTTGTTTATCTAGTTTCAGAAGCCAACATGTTATATGTATGTATATATATATATACACACACACACATATATACAAAGAACATTAGTCATACCAACAGGCCAGGCCTAGCGGTATCAGCCTCTTACTTCTCAAAGGGAGGTCGGGGGTTCAAGTTTCAGAAGAGACATGTGTGTGTGAGTACCAACTAGGGAAAAAAAAGAAAAAAAAAAAGAACATTAGTCATTGTAGCATATGGCATGAAAGCCTGCAACTACACCTTTTTTTTTTTTTCATAAATAACTACACCTTATTTTATACTTCTCTTCTTTTAGTGACTAGATTTTGAATATAGTGGGCGATCATTCTCTCTCCATGTGTGTGTGTGCGTGTGTAGAATACATATTATTGTTATCTGTTCCTGTGATCCTAGTACTATGAATTATTGATGGCAAATAATGCTATACCAGAGTAATGCCGATCTATTTATGTGCTTAAATATCTTATTATTATCTTTTATGATAATTTAACTAGTTATATGCTTTCTCTGTTGATGATGGTAAAAGATTTGTAGCGAGGAGTATGACAAGGGCACACGCATATTCTTAGGAGTTCAAACAGAGTTCTCCATGATTGCTTTGGACCTTACTATGGTAGTTATTTGCCCTCCATTAATCATTGATTATTTGTTTGGTTGCGTTTTCAAGTTACAACTATTCTTGTTTTGTCCTTAAAAATATATTTCAACCGATTCAACAGATTCTGGGCAAAGTGCATGGGCTTAATCTAATATTTGGTGTGGACATATTCACTTGTGTCTTTTTGACTGCTGTTGATGCTGTTTTATTTCCTTTTTTCGCCACCCTCCTGGTAAGCCATATTACTTGCATTATTTCATATTCTCCCACTTACAGTTTGGCTTAGAAAGTTGTCAGTAATATGATATTTACATTACTCATTTTCCAGGAGAATGGCAAGGGAAAATTCCTGTGCATGTGCACGGCCAGCCTTATATTGCTTTCTTATGTTTTTGTAGTGCTCATCAGTCAACCAGAAATTCCGATCTCCATAGGTGGGATACTAACAAATTTAAGTGGGGAGAGTGCATTTTCACTGATGAGCCTTCTTGGAGCGAATATTATGCCTCACAACTTTTACCTCCATTCTTCGATTGTACAGGTCTCTCACACACTATCTCTCTCTCTATATATTTTTTATGTGTGTGTGTGTGTGTGTGTGTGTATCTATATCTTTGTGGATGTGTATTTTCACAGTCTACTCGCAGTACTTTCTGTTGAAATTCTCAAGTTCTTTTATGAATTGATTTGTTATTTTTGTTTTCTTAGTTCTTGATGAATGACTTAGTTTTAGACTGTTACTAACAGACTCTTATGGACTCTTTTTCCCTGACTATGGCATTTAGTTGAGATTAGTATGTTTATGTGTCTGCAGGCATTATTTGCTATTAAAAGAATTTGAGTGAGGATTTGGTAAAATATACTCAAAATTTGCAACTTTAGCAAAGCTACGGAGCATATCTGTCATCAAGCTAAAAATTAATTGACAAGGGATTAACCCAAAATGTACGACTGCTGAATGTTTAGTTTATTTGACATGCTATGCCGACGACATTTTTTCTAGACAATACATGAAAATCAGTCTTTTTAGCTTGTAGGCTTCAGTCATGGAACTTTTGCACTGGCATTTTTGACTGTGTTCTCACATAGTTGGGCATTAGAAATTAAGTTGGTCTTTGACAACATAAGCGGCAGCCAAACATATAAAAGATTCATGCTAATCCATTTGCATATGTGTGCGAGAGTATATATATTATTAAAGAAAACAAAAGATTCCCGGGTTGCATCTTTGCAAGTTGACTCAGTCTCATCTTGCAATTTTGTTCTGTTTAGATCACAATATCGGCCCTAGGTGAGTCTATGCGAATTGGTTGAGGCAGAGTTTTGCACCACAATTTTGTCATGGTTGTGACTGTTGATATTCTGGTTGTTTATTACATGTTACGTCAACATAAACAAGGGCCATGGATGAGAGAAATAATAGAAATATACAAAAGAAAAAAAGGACAAAATTGTAGTGAGAACAATCTGTGTGTGTGCAAGCGTGTGTATTCTAAAGTATAGGTGGACTTAGTAGAGTGTATTCATATCTACCCTCTATTGCTTATTCTCCTCATGCACTTATTCAAACCTTCATTTTCTCTGTTTCTAGTTAGAATATGAACAATGTTCACGATTAATACTTGAATTTCTCTATGTACATCCTGTGCCATTTATTGATGTTAATTTGTATGAAATATCAATATTTTACCAGATTCATCTAATTGTATGAACGACTACTATACTTTGAGGTGACCTTTCATCCTCATGCAGTAGAAACAACAGTTTGGTGGTTATAAAATCTATAAGGATGTGCTCATCTTTCTCTTGCAGCAAGATCTGGGGCCATCAAATGTTTCCAAGGGATCCTTGTGTCACGATCATCTTGTTGCTATTCTATGCATCTTTAGTGGCATTTTCCTGGTGAATTATGTGCTGATGAACTCAGCAGCAAATGTGTTCCACAGTACAGGCCTTGTATTGCTTACTTTTCAGGATGCATTGTCACTGATGGATCAGGTTTGAAATTGACGAGGGACTATTCTTGCTGGAATTGGTTACATATCAATTTCTTGTATTTGTTCTTCGTTATCAATTTGATGCAAACTAACGGAATTCCCTTTATCAAAATTATTAATGCAGGTATTTTGGAGTCAGATAGCACCCTTTGCCTTCCTACTGGTTCTGTTATTTTCCAATCAAATCACAGCATTAACCTGGAATCTTGGTATGCAAGCAGTCCTGCATGATTTCTTCAGGATGGAAATTCCCAGTTGGCTTCATCATGCTATAATCAGAATTATTGCCATTGTCCCAGCCCTTTATTTTGTGTGGAATTCAGGAGCTGAGGGAATATATCAACTGCTGATATTTACACAGGTCATGGTTGCTCTTGTGCTTCCATCTTCTGTTATCCCCCTTTTCCGAGTTGCCTCGTCAAGATCAATAATGGGTGTCCACAAAATTTCTCAGTTCGTGGAGTTTTTAGCCTTGATCTCATTTATTGGAATGCTCAGCCTAAAGATTATATTTGTGGTGGAGATGATATTTGGAAACAGTGATTGGGTAAGCAATTTGAGGTGGAACTTGGGGAGTAGCACATCTATTCTTTATGGTGTTCTTCTCGTCACTGCATTTGTTTCGTTTTGTTTGATGCTTTGGCTTGCAGCCACCCCATTAAATTCTGCGGCTTCCAGAATAGATGCTCAGGTGCGGAACTCTAATATACAAAATATTGTGCATAATTTATATGTGGAGAGAGATGAAAGTGATTTAAGTGAAACTAGATATCATGGAGAGCAACCCATACAAAAGCAAGAACCCACATTAGGATTGGGAAAGTCTTTGGAGAGTCATTCAGATATGCCAGCTACAAGTACTGGTTTGAATTTGCCCGAAACACTCTTGGATTCTCATAACGTGCCGCATTTTACTACTATCGAGGAGAATTCTTTTAGTGTTACATTTCCAAGCTTGTCTGCATGCCATCCAGAGGAATTGCCAACCACAGTAAAAACAGTCCTGCTGTCAACTGTTTGCAATGAGGTTTCTGATAGTAAATTGCAGGATACCGGTACCTTGAAGACTGAATCAATGGACTTAGTGGAGAAGACCATGAAACTTGAGGAGTATTTACAGACTGAGAACGATGATGAGGAAGATACGTGGGAACCTGAAGAATTTTCTAAAGGGGTATCGATGAGCAGCTCATCTTTAATATCCGAGGGTCCAGGATCATTTAGGAGTCTCAGTGGGAAAAGTGATGATGGGGGGAGCGGTGCTGGAAGTCTTTCAAGATTAGCAGGATTGGGCCGTGCTGCAAGACGTCAATTAGCTGCAGTTCTTGATGAGTTTTGGGGACAGCTGTATGATTTCCATGGGCAAGCAACCCAGGGTGCAAAGGCTAAGAATCTGAATGTGATGCTGGGGGTAGATTCGAATTTTGATCCAAAGCCTGCCATCACGCCAAAAGCGCACACCAGTGGGAATGGATTTACTGGATATCCCAATTTGGGTGGCAGAGGATCTGATTGTGTGATCAATTCAAGTTTATATAACTTCCCCATGCAGCAGGGATTGCAACGTAGTATAGCGTCATTTTATGGGGTTCAAAGGGGTTCATCTTCATTGTGGTCTGGCCCCATGCAGAGGTTAGATGGCTATGTGCAAAATCCCAGTCACAATTCTCTTGATTATAGTGAGAGGCACTATTATAGTTTGCGCCTTCCACCATCTTCTGATGGCTCTGATTCTCAGCCAGCAACTGTACATGGTTATCAGGTTGCATCACTTCTCAGTCGAATTGCTAAAGAAAAACAATCTGATTACTTAAATGGTCAAATGAATTCGCAAACCCCAAAATCCCCATCTTTGGACCAATCAAACTACAGAGGTTCACTTGCATTTGCAGCAAGGCAAAAATCACTGACTAGGGTAAGCCCTGCGAAGCCGCCTGGTTTTCCAGACCTTGCCGCATCTAGAAATAGTTCAATGCAATCTGGAAGACCATTTTATGGTCTTAACCCTTCTGGACCTGCTGAGAATGCGGTTAGCACAGTCGATGCAAAGAAATTTTATAGTTTGCCAGACATTTCAGGACTTCTTCCTCACCGGGATTCATATTTGTTGGACAGGAATGCTCAACGGGAAAGTTGCATTGGATACAATCCATCTGTTGGTCACACTATGTATGATCAATTTTCATATTCAAGCACTTCATCTAGGGTTGGAGCTCCCTTAGCCTTCGATGAAGTCTCTCCTTCAAAGGTCTGCCGAGATGCTTTCTCCTTACAGTTAAGCTCAAATCCAGACACTGGATCCCTGTGGTCTAGACAGCCTTTTGAACAGTTTGCTGTGGCTGATAAAGCTCCTGCTACTGGGGGTGAGGGAGTTGGAAGTGGGCAGAGTTCAATTAATCGAGAAACAACATCTGCTTCGGATTTGGAAGCAAAGCTTCTTCAGTCTTTCAGACTTTGTATTGTGAAGCTTTTGAAACTGGAGGGATCTGCTTGGTTGTTTAGACAGAATGATGGGGCTGATGAAGTTCTTATAGATAGTGTAGCTGCAAGGGAGAAATTCATTCATGAAGCTGAAACTAGGGAGATAAACCGGGCGGTTCGCACGGTTGAATTTCAATTTTCTGACAGGAGGCCTGGTTTTGTACCGAAAAATGATGACATAGATCATTCGCAATTACTGGTCTCCCCAGTTCCTCATTGCGGGGAGGGCTGTATTTGGAGAGTGAATCTGATTATAAGCTTTGGTGTGTGGTGCATTCACCGGGTTCTCGAGCTCTCACTCATGGAAAGCAGGCCAGAGCTGTGGGGGAAGTACACTTACGTATTAAATCGTCTTCAGGTAACAATCTGAAATTCTGTGCTTGATTTCCGCTGCTTGTATTACCTTTGCATGAAGTGATTGTGGCATGTCTACAAGGATTTGTAAACCATTTGTTGTTAACCAAATTAAAAGACTAGTGCTCTTCTAATTTTTGCCAGGTAGATTCTTCCATTTCCTTTGAATGTCCTTATATTCAAATCTTTGTTCTCACACTTAGCTATTCGAGTTTTACCCCTATACCAATCACTCACCTTCACTCCACAGACGCGCGTGCACACACACACACACACACACACAGATATGTTGGTGACCATGACAGTGAAAATCTGTTATGAATGTATTTATGACAGGGGATCATAGATCTGGCATTTTCCAAGCCACGTTCTCCAATGACTCCCTGCTTCTGCCTTAAAATTCCATTGACACAGCAACAAAGGTTAAGTCCACCTTCAAATGCACCAGTAAAACAAAGCAGAGGGAAATGCACGACTGCAGCAATGCTTTTAGACATAATCAAGGACGTGGAAAGTGCAATCTCTGGTAGAAAGGGTCGGACGGGCACTGCAGCTGGTGATGTGGCTTTCCCAAAAGGAAAAGAGAATTTGGCATCTGTCCTCAAACGATACAAGCGTCGTTTAGCCAACAAGTCAGGTTGACACTCATGAAGGTGGCTTTGGGTTGTGAAAGCTTTCTGCATCAGCTTCTTATGACTTATAGCCTTTGTTCAAAGTTGACAGCAGCCAGGTAGAAAAATTCTGAGTTGTTTGATTTTAGGAAAACTGCTCATTGTCTACATTGGCGGGTGCTAGATCGTTATGCGACTCTCTCTCTCTCTCTCTCTCTCTCTCTCTCTCTCTCTCTCTCTCTCTCTCTCTCTCTCGTATTCATACTTGCTCCATATTCATTTCCATGCACTTACCTATACAAGGGATAATGTAATTGCAGAATGATGGAAGAAATGAGTAGAAGACAGGCTGAAATTGCAGCTTTTTTTTTTTTTTTGGCCTCACGGTGCAAGTATGTCGTTCAAGTAGAGTGGAACGATGGATGTAGAAATTGCTGGAAAATTTTTATGAGGGTCTTCTGTATATATACATTCTTTTATAAAAATTGGTAACAGAAATGTGAGGTTTTAATTTGTTGTACCTGTAAAATCTGGTTGTATTCCTTTTTGCCCCTCAAGTTGTCATATGCAGTGGTTCATTTGGTTGGAAGAGGGGAGGAAATGAAAAATAGGGTGGAGTTTCTATTGTATTATTTTTTTAACCGTTGCAAATTTGCCATGCGCAAGACATTGAATTCTAAAGTATACATGAGCAATCTCAATCACTAATTTTCATATCCGATGAGTTATTTCATATCAGGTGGGTTATGTCATCGGTAAAAAAAAAGTCAATAAATAGTATTCAAGTTAAGTTGAACTCCAACTCACTTATTTGATATTTTTTTAGTACAATTCTGATTATAGATATGATGATAAAAGTATGTGAAAAATGGAACTCATTTTAGGTTGGACTTAGCCAGTTTGGGATTACTGTTAGAATGTTAAAAGTACTTTGAATAGTAGAACTGGTATAAAAGTGCTGTCAGTAAAACCAGTTAAGCGTTTGGTAACACATTGTATAAAACACTTTTTTATACTTGAAGCACTTTTAAATTTGTTTGCTAATAATGTTGCTTAAATCACTTTTATTACTGAATTTATTATATTACCCTACCCTGAACATATATTAATTCCTTAATATTAAATCTTATAAAATTTCATTCAGTTCAATAATTTATAAAGATCAATTTGTGTTGGTTTTTTTATTTTTATTTTAAATATCACATATTTTGTTTATGATATGGAATTTGTATGGAGTACTAAAATATAAATGAGTTAAACATATTTTAATGATGATTAGTTTGTATCTCATTTGAGATCTCCAAGTAATAAAATAAGTAAATTTGTTCATATGCTATCTAATAATGAAATTTAATAATATAATATTTTGCAATATAGGCAACATTTCATAAAATAAAACTAAACACTTTAGCCACAATTAATAATCTTATTACTTGTTATTTAAGATAATAGTATAAATGTATTATAATTATTTTTTAAAAAATTACAAATCATAATTTATTAAAAATTAAACATCTAACAATTATATAATTTAAGATTTTAGTTTATTACAGAATCCATATTATTTCCAATTTGTTTGTAAAAGGGATATAATTATATTTATAAAAAATATAAAGAAATTAAATTATTTTTTAAAAAATTAGTTACCTAAAAACATGTTAGAGTCCCAAAATAAACTAAAATTGGAAGGTTGGAGAGTCCCAAAATAAATTAGAATTTTAATTTATTACAGAATTCATATTATTTACTATTTATTTGTAGGAGGGATATAATTATATTTTTAAAAAATTAATTACCTAAAAAAAGAACCTTAACCTTAACGCAATTTTAATGGGGACCAAGTTGATGTGATTTGCTTGTTTCTTTTAATTTTTCGGGGGAACAATTAGACTTCTCAGAATCCAAATTCACTGACGCCGTCAGGTAAAATCTCTCAAGCGTCAAAAGCTTGACAACGCCGTTAGGGAACACCACGACATGACCCAACATAACGCCATTTGCTGGTCTACATCTGTAGCTACTCGGCAAGAGGAGCTTTTCCACTTTAACGAATTCTACCATCTCTCGCTCTACAAATATATTCTAATATTCTCTCTCTAGGAATATATTGCTTTGGTCATCCATTATTTGTCAGCAGATCGTTCATGGCTTCCCAAATCGTGAGAAGCGTCCTCCGGAGCCGTGCCAACGAGATCTTCTCCGCGTCGTCTCTTAGGGTTTTCTCATCTTCTGATCGGACCCTATGCTCAAACGCCGGAGCTTCCAATGTCATCCGAGCCACTCTTTTCCCCGGTGACGGAATTGGTCCTGAGATCGCCGACTCCGTCAAACAGGTCTCTCTCTATATATATTTGATATATTTTGCATGCATCTATGTGACGTCTCTATATATCAACATATCAGTAATCTTTGTATGCCATTAAGTTTTTAATACCTTGTTTAGGGTTTCTAAATAAATAAATACTGAATTTCTTGTCGTACGCGACTATTTTGATTTTGAGAATTGGTTGTATGCTCTTGTTTTAATTTGAGGTGTTCTATTGTTTTGTTTGTATTATACTTTTGTTTTTCTAAACTTGTTATTGTATTAAACATTTACAACCATATCTACTCCTAACAGAAAAGGACCATTTGAATTTACTCTATGATTTATGTTTTAAACATCTAATACCAATAGCAGTTGAGCGGTGTCTTCTCTCTCTCCAAATTGGGAAGTGCAATGATCAAGTTCCAATTTATCCACACACACAAAAAAAACTAAAATAATAATATGAAAAAAAAAAATTACTGCATTTACATGGCGGACAAATGGAGCATTAGGGTTCTATAATTTATTTGGATTAAACTATATTATGATACTAAGGTTAGTGTTAGATATATTGAACTAATTCCTGAAAATCATAAACTAACAAACTACAATGGGCATGTGATATGATTGTGTTACAAAATTGGAACTTCTGCATTGGTATGTTAAGTGGTAGATTGTTATTAGAAATGGAGACATGGATTTGTCAAGAGAAAGGAAAAGGTGAAGGAAAGGAAGGGAAAAGAAAACGAAAATAATTTCCTTTATATGTGATCTCCTACTTAATTGATTTTAGGATTAATGGTTAGGTATTAAAAAAAAATGAGAAGGGAAATAACAAATGAAATCAAAAGTTTCACCTTACTTCCTTCACTGAATATGTGAAACAATTTGAGCCTTTGTTTTTGGGAAAGAAAATGAGCTAGTTGTCAGTCACCATCATAATAATTATGTTTATAGATCCCTTTTTTAGTATCAAGGATGGTTCACTAAATGCATTTTTGAGTTGCTGTAAACTTTATCATTTCCTTAATGCAGGTATTTAGGGCATGTGAGGTGCCAATTGAGTGGGAAGAACATTACGTGGGGAAGGAAATAGATCCCAGAACTCAGAGTTTTCTTACATGGGAAAGTCTAGAATCTGTTCGACGAAATGGTGTTGGCTTAAAAGGGCCAATGGCCACACCAATTGGGAAAGGTCATCGTTCTTTGAACCTTACTTTGAGGAAAGAACTTAATTTGTATGCCAATGTTAGACCTTGCTACAGTCTTCCTGGTTATAAAACTCGGTATGATGATGTGGATCTTATCACTATCCGTGAAAACACTGAAGGGGAGTACAGTGGCCTCGAGCATCAAGTAAGTTTATTCAACGTATACTAATGCAGAAGCAAAATATTCGTCATACTTAAATTTGATTGAGTTCCTGGTATCTGGTTTCAGGTGGTTAGGGGTGTGGTTGAAAGCCTCAAGATCATTACTCGTCAAGCAAGCCTGAGGGTCGCCGAATATGCCTTCCATTATGCCAAGACCCATGGAAGGGAGAGAGTCTCTGCAATACACAAAGCCAACATTATGCAGAAGACTGATGGTCTATTTCTTAAGGTCTGTCTGTTGTAAATGCTTAGACCATGAATAGTATGATTTTTGCCCTATACAGTCTCTCATATTGGATTTGGTTTTGGCTTCATACTCAGTGTTGTCGCGAGGTTGCAGAGAAGTACCCTGAGATAACATATGAGGAAGTCGTCATTGATAATTGCTGTATGATGGTACAAATAATTTTCTTATTATGAATTTTTGTAAATTTTGTTTGGGCAGATGCATCAGTGTGCATGTGTTTGCGTGGATCAAGCTACATACCTAGTGATATAAATATGTATTCCACCATGCAACATTATCAAAAGCCAAATAGAACATTTAATTAGCAAGCTTCTTAAGTGCATTGAATTCTGCATCTGGAAAGGAAAGTAATGGAATAACTCAGAACTATTTTCTTCTCCTTGTACAGCTTGTGAAGAATCCAGCTCTTTTTGATGTTTTAGTAATGCCTAACCTTTACGGTGACATTATCAGTGACCTTTGTGCTGGGTTAATTGGGGGCTTGGGTTTAACACCAAGGTAACTGCATTTATTTAATCATCTTTTATGTATACCATGCGTATTCATTTCTACTAAGTAATATTGTATATAGGTTACCTCACTTCATTTGACCACCTGTGCAGTTGTAATATTGGTGAGGGAGGTATTGCTCTTGCTGAGGCTGTACATGGTTCAGCACCTGATATTGCTGGAAAGGTAGGCTGTCAAAGCAACTTTATTATTTGATTCTTATTATTCGTTCTTGTTATTTGATTGTGTATTGTGCATTAATATGTGCCTGCTTAGTTCTATATTCAACTGAAATTTCGATATCTTCCAGCTCGGTCTAGGATTATAGGTCAGTTATCGTGATATAGCTAGGTCAAGTGCAGTGGTATACAAAGGTCTGAAATGGGTGATTAGAGTGAAAATAAATAATAATAAAATCCTTATTTTCTCAGTTCCAAAATTCCAACATGTTTTAGATGTTTTTCCTGGTGTACCTTAAAGTATAGATGTCCCGTGTGGGTTCTTATTAATTTTTAGGAAGTGGAAGTATAACACACAATATGATAGATGTTCTAAATAGGCTGAGGTGGAAGTCAAAATTCTCTTGTAACATAGAGAGAAAGGCAGAACATAAAGTTGTCAAATGGTCAGATGCATTGTTGAATGCATTGAAAAAATTATATGTATACAAGATAGACGACATATTAGAGAGTGGAAAAAATATCTATTTCTTGACAACAAGCTGTAGATGATAAAAATGAATCCTCAATCTTGCTGATAGATATATTTGCATCGCCTCATGATAAGAGGATATCAAAACGAAAGACATCAAGGCGTGACTAGTACATTAACGTAGTAGGATCTTCTAGTGTTATGCTATGAGCTTTTGATAATAATCAAGCCATGGCTCTATTTATTTATTTATTTTTTGATAAGTGGCTTCATTAATAGGCAAGATTAAAGGGTGATGCGTCTAGGAGATGTTTAGAGTGTGAATCACGAAATAAATCCATAGCAATGAGTGTGACGAGGGACGCGGCCAAATTAGCGTTTAGAAATTTGTAGGAATTTCATATGATACAAGAGAGTGACCATGAGAAAATGAGACTCATGAAAATATCATATTTAACTTTGCATTACACTCAGACTTGTTAGTTAGTCATATCAGTTTCATATAAAAAAGATGAATCAATGAATTCGCAGTAACTGAGGGGTATGAAGCCCTTATTCCTTAATCCTTGGTAAGTTAATCATCAATTATATAGTGCACTATAACTAATGTAATGAACATGGCCAGGTCTTATCCAAGTTATCAACAAGATAAACACTATGCGTGATGTAATTTACCAGTTTGAGTTAGCTTAGGCATGGTCATGACTCTAGCAAGCTTCATAATGGTCTTATGGTCCCTCCACTTGTCGATGGAGTGGTCCCCAAGGCAATGGCCTCATATGGTAGATGTTTTGTAATGCAGTGTTACTGTTACCACATCAGTAGAAGTCACTGGGTCACATGATGTCTCTTTTTTACATTTGTCGCGAAATGTGCTGAGTAGGGATGTCAATTTTAGCTGGCCCCAATGAAGCCTTGTCTCGCCCTTAATGGAACAGGTTTGGGTGCATTCTAATAAGGTTGGGAGTTGGTTTTGGAAGAGCCATAAACTGGAATCCACCCTGATTAATAATAAAAATATATAAGTACCATGTTTTTAGCTAGAGCCTTTATTATTTTCATTGTTTTTCATAATAATTTAAAGTTTTAACTACAAATTTAAGAAAATTTATGATTATGATTGTTATAAATTTAATAGAGATTGAATATTTTCTAAAAAAGGTATACATAGCAAGCTAAGCTTGGCGGGGTTGGGATTTATTTTCCTTTGTGAGTCAGGTTTGGAATAAGGGTGACAAGCTCCAAACCCATTTTTTTGACATCCCCAGTGTCGACCTCGAGGAAAGGTCAGCACTGCTAGCCTTGAACTTCAACCAACAAGGAGTATTGTTCCTCATTATAGAAATGCATGTGGATTGCTTTGCGAAAAGAACCCTTTTTTCTTTCTCTTATATATATATATATATATTATTTGCTTCTCTTTAGATTTAAAACCAAATATTTGGAACTCGTCTCTTAAATGATTTACCTTTTTCTCTTCAAGGATCTTTTGAAAGGCCTGATTTGCTTGAAACCCCCACTCTGGATAAGATGGAAATTCAACTTGATGAGGGTTTCTTTTATTTGCATTAAACAATTAGGGATTTCTAAACATGGTTAGCTATGAAGCATCGACATGGATACATGAACGGGTACAACATGGTACAAACAATACAATAAAATCTAAAAAGTAGGATGCTAGGGATGGTGGCGAGGAGGTAATTTTATATATGTAATATATACATATAGAATAATTGTTTGTCATATACATAGACATGTTTTGAAATATACATGTTCTTTATAAATAAATTAAATATTTTAAGTTCCGAATTTATAAATTTAAATTTACATGATTATTTTTTATTGACCCCGTCAAAGGGAATAAAAATAAAATTCAAATAAGAAGCCTAAGGTTATGTTCCATGAGTCCATGTTTTGGACCAGATTTGACACAATTTACTCTCACTAATTTCAGTTCTTCTCTTAAAATTATTCCAGATATTTGAATCCTTTATAGTGGTTTTCATTGACTGTAATGGTCTACTAGAAAAACCACTTATTAATGTTCAAGGCATGTCAAACATGTATTTTGAAGTATGTGAGAAGTATAAGCTGCTTGTTTAAATTAAAAAAACAAAAATATAAAGTTAAATCATGGATTCAATTATGAAATATCTGACACATTTCCAGTATCTGAGGAGTATCTTTATCGGCTACAGCTATGCAATTTTATTTTTTTAAAAAAAAATTTTACACCTATGATTTTGTTTAGAACATAATAAGGCCTCCACAAAATATTTGCTAAAAATCCCATATACAAACTTGCCCCCACTAGGTTTTGGGTCTTCACACTCACCCCCCTCTAAAAATTTTGCACTCTTTTTGGGCCTCTTCCCAACTGTAGGCCCAGCCCATCAACGACTCTTTTTTTTTTTTTTTTTTTTCCCCCATCAGTGACTCTCTCTCTCTCATGAAAATCATTAGTGTTGGCAACACAACCCTATTTCTCTTTATTTTTTAAATTTTTTTTCCAAATTAAATATTTTTTTTTTGGGAGTTTTCAATTTGATTTTGTTAAAAGTAGATGAGGTGAACATTGAAAACCAAGTGGGTTCCCCAAAGGAGGATTGACTCTCATCACTTCTTGGGTTTGGGTTTTATTTATTTATTCTCTCTTTCTATTTTGGTACTTTTCATTGGTCTGGGGAATTGAGGTTGTTATCAGCTTGTTCTGGGTATTTGATTCATGCTTGTGTTTGGTTTTATTTTATTTATTTTCCCCCTCTGGTAATTTGGGTGGTTAACTTGTTGTAGTGGTTGGTTCATGTTATGGGAATGCTGGAGTTGGGTATTGAAGGACATGCCTTGTTAATAATGATGTATTTGGCTTCTTTTTATTTTTTTTAATAATTTTTTAAAGTATGTATTTTATGAAAGAATATTCAGAATTAATCGTTTTCGTTTATTATGGTAGTTGATTTGATTTTATTTGATTTGATTTTATTTTTATCTTCTAGAATTACCTGATGCTTTATATTTATTAAAGCTAGTTTTGGGGTGTCTTACTTGGTGCTTGGGAGATGGTTTAATGGTGCTATGCTCCCTTGTAACAAGTACCTGGCGCTTTATATTCTTTGAAGAGATTATTTGGAATGTGATACTTTTATATTTGAAACTTCGGTATAGAAGATACTTTTCGGAAGAGATGTTTCTATAGTTAATTCATATCTCCAGAGGTAACTAGTTTGGGTGTCTTAGTGTTTTGGAGTGACTTCTTTATTGTTATTGGTTGGCCGAGCTCAGTGGATTTGGGGCCTTGAAATGGATGCTAAATTGTTGAACAACTTCTTTTTTTTTTTTTTTTCTCTCCCTTGGTTGGATAGACAATGTACTTGTACTTTGAACCTTGCTTTTGCTCTACATGTGGTCTCTCACTTTATCTGCATCTAAGATGTGCATAAAACTATTGGTGGAAAACCAGTTGGTTTTGGTTCCTTCTATGATATCAGTTATTGGATGCACCAATCAGCAAAATTTGAAGCAATTGAACAAAAAGAGTTTTGATTATGGAGGATTCTATGATTTCCATTTCTTGCTTTTTGTTTCATAACATGCCTACTTGGTAGTAGAGTTCTTTTATTTTGAGAGTTCACTCCCCCTACGTCTATAAAAATTTCTTTACTTTACGAGTTCCATTTCCTTTAAATTGACATGGATGCTAATTTCTAATTTGTGCTGTGGTTGAATCTACTTAGAATCTAGCAAACCCAACAGCTTTGCTGTTAAGTTCTGTCACAATGCTGCGCCATTTGAAGCTTAATGATAAGGCTGATCGGATTCAAGATGCCATCCTCAACACGATCGCTGAAGGGAAGTATCGAACTGCTGACCTTGGTGGCTCTTCAACGACATCTGACTTCACGAAGGCAATATGCGATCATCTCTGAAGAGTGTTTCTACTTAAATTTTGATTATTGAACCCCCAATTGTTCCTAATGATGTTCCTAATACTGTTCAATAGAAATAAGAGCAACATGTTGTGCATTTACAGTTGATTACTTTTTATTCTTTTTAATTACTAAGACAATCATTAGGTAATTTTCTATAGAAATGAATTACAAGTGTGGTGGGTTACAAAACATGTTTGCAGCACATTTGAATCTCCTAGCTTTTGCAGATGGCACAATTATTCAGGTTTTCTGGTTGAGAACTATGTTTGTTCGTTCTGGCTTCACTTATTTGTTTGCGTAAAGCTGTGGAAAGAAATGCAGTCAGATCTGGTAAGTGTGATTTATCCACTGCTTTAGAAGATAATTTGGCAAGCCAAACAGAAAATAAGTGAATAGGAGTGACTGGTTTTTGGACATGAATTGTAGGGACGATGTATTTGTTGCTTCAATTATTTATTTATTTTAATTTCCTCAACTATTGATTTTTTTTTTTTTTTTTTTTGCGTAATTTTACATTATATTTTAACTCCAGCTTGTCCTCAGTTAGTCAAATGGGGATAATTTGCTACCGTCCATAATGTGTGAATGCTTGTTGCTTTTAAAAAAAAAAAAAAAAAAAAAAAAAAAAAAAATTTACGACCTCTTAAAATTAGAGGGGAGATTAGTGCACCAAAGCATAAACAAAATTTCATTTCTTAAGCTATGAGATGGGAAGGCAACACCAAACTTTCCAAGTTGAGGTTGGTGGGATTGGGACATGAAACATCAGTGTAAATGCATCGACAAGTTAACAAGAAAATTTGTGAAAAGCTTTTACTTTGAGAGATATAAAAGTGCGCAACGCAATGCCAAAATTTTCAGACTGGTAAGGTGTATATATTAAAAAGATATTGGGTGTCTCACTACGAAGTAATGGTAATTTTTATTTTTTTTTTATTTTTAGGGTAAGTAAAGTAATGGTATGTTCACTCCATAGGAACGTATCTTATTAATTTTTTTTTTCAGTAATTTTTATATGTAGGAGAACTTTGTTTTTTCAATTGTATAAACTCTTAAATTTTTAATCGATAATAAAGCTCTGTTCAGTAGAAAAGAAAAAAAAAATTGATAGAAAGGAGAGAAGAAGGGATGATGAGACATAAGAAAAAAAAAATTGATAGAAAGGAGAGAAGAAGGGACGATGAGACATACATGGGAAATAGATTGATCCTTAATTTCTATTTTTTCTCCATACTTTTACCGAACACAGCATAAGTGTTACAATATGATCTTCTTAAGTGAACATTTCAATAATGTGAAATGCACTATTCACTTCTTCGGGGTTTATGAATATGTTTGGTTTGTTATTATAAAAATAATTTTTTAAAAATCAAAAAAATAACTTCTTTCTTAAAAAAAATAAAAATAGTAATAATTTTTAATTCCAGATACAAACCAAGTAAGTTGTTAGGTCGCATTAGTGCAATAAATATTTTTAAAAATTGTTGTTATTGTGATGTAATTTAATTGTTGCATGATGTAAAGACTGATCTAGAAAATGGATCGGGGCCCGAGGCACCCAACACACTACACCGATAAATAAAAAATATTTAAATACGATCCTCGAGATCTGAATTAGCCTACCCTCTTCAGTCTTCTCCCACTCGTCTCTCTCTACTGATATATATATATATATATATATATATATATATATATATACACGCAGCTTCATTCACACCCTGCTCTCTCTCCCACTCTCCGTGTCTCATTTCAATCTGCAGCAATGGAGTACGAGGGAGTTCTATTGGGTATGGGCAATCCACTACTGGACATCTTGGCAGTCGTCGATCAGGAGTTCTTGAACAAGTAAACTCTCTTCTTCTTTGGACAGCTCAGATCTGGATGCTGATTCGTTTTTTGTTCCAATATTGTATATATACAATTGGAATTTGGTAGTTTGATGCTTCTAGTTACATTTGTTATTTTTGTGCTTGATATCTGAAAGTACTCGATTTGAAATCGTCTCTTTTTTTGTTCTGTGTTTTTACTTCCTGAGATCTGTACTTGCCTTGACGATTCTGTCACTCTTGAATGCTTCTAGCGCCATGTACTTTGAGCTATCTTTGATAAAGTCTTATACTCATCAAGAACAGTTTTATTTGGACATTGCGAACCCACTCTATCTGTGTGTGTTTGTGTGTGTGAGAGAGAGCTTGATTGTCTTGTATGGTTATGTATGTACTACTTCACGATCTATGTATATGCATAAATCTAGATCTCAGTGTTTCAACTTCATTTCTGTTAATATAGGACTAGATCAAAGATGATCACTCTTTGCCTTGTATTTAGCTTTGTTAATTCTAAGTAGATTGGAGACATGTAGCTACATGCTTCTGATTACTTTATCTTATTGATTTTTTTGCTAATTCTTGTGGCTGGAATTATGTGCTCGCTAGATCAGTATTCCATGATATTCTATCGTGGAATTTCTTACATATTTATTCTATAGACGAGAAAATTTTCATTTTCTATGCTCAATCATATATATATATATATATATATTTGATAAGTAAATGCTCAATCATATATTGCCTCTTATTTAATGCGGTTATTTACCCTATTAAGATGATTGAGTTTCAAATTTTGTTTTGTCCTGTTTTCTAATTGTCAATTTTTTATTTTATTTTATTTTATTATTATTATTATTTTTATATATTGGTAATTTCCTCCTCCACCTGGTTTTTGAATTTCATTTTAAATTTTTGGTGGTACATGCATTCATTTGTAATCAGTTTTACCCCTTTTGCATGCTTGTATGTTGTATACAGCTGTTGGTCTATTTAGTAGCTGCCTCCCTTTTACATCTCAAGCTAATAGCATTGGTGGTGTTGTTTGATATATTGTTCAATTTCATTTCTTCCTAAAATGTTAAAAATACCATTTGGTTGGGGTGGTGCTAGGTTTCTATCTTATACTACACTTGAATGGGTTTGAAATATAAACTATTTTTATTTTGGCTAACAGATATGACATCAAGTTGAATGATGCAATTCTTGCAGAGGACAAGCACACACCTATGTAAGTAACTCATTTTCGAATTCATATGTGATGTCCACAAACTGCCCTTCTGCTTTGAAATTTTCATTCATATAGTTTAGGGTTTTGCTTTTCTCAATGAAGTATACAACCGGGATACATGTTTGCATTCCTCAATGAAGTATACAACTGGGATACTTGTATTTGTTGTGGGAAAAAGAGTTAGTGGAAGATAATTCCTAGATTCTTTTGATTCTCAATCTTTTTAAGTTAGGTATCATAATTCTGGTGGTTCTTGGCCTTATTTGTGATTATTTCCCATTTCCATTTCATCTAAAGCCATATGAATCACTGATAGCTGTCGTTGACTTGGTCATACAAAACTTTAGATATTTTTTATAGATATATATTTTTTTTTTACTTCACAGATGCATTTTCATGAAATGTTTATTGATTTTGATTTGTAACAGTTTGAATTGTGAAATGACAACTAATCTAATTGAAACATATGATATCAGTGGTGAAGAAGAATAGACCATTATCTTAATTTGAGAATCATATTGTCTCTTTAAGTAATAGTTCATCGATTTTAAGCTGTTAAAAGGGGCAAATGAAGAAAGAGGAATAATGACCTCTTGAACATTATAACAACGGATTATAACTTGATTTCATCTTAATTAACAATTGTCAATTTGTAACTTGAAATAATTACAGATAACAAATGCCTGTTTGACCTTGTGAGATGCGTTGCATTCGCAAGGACTACATGGTGCATGCCAAATGTTATGTGGGTTTAGTCATATCCAAACAGCTGAAATACCCTAGAAAATGATTGGTATCTCCAGTCACACCATAGGAAAAGGGTGAAGGAATAGAACGATTTAGGTCTTGCTTAAGGTTTTAAATAATAGGTTACTGTACCAGTAAATGTTGCGATGATGTGGGTGCAGGGTATAACAGATATAACATAACGGATAAGGCTATTGAAGCTGTGAATTTTTTTTTTTTACAATGCACAACTCCTCTAAAAGAGTGTCAAAACACATGTTTAATTCTAACATCTTCCTTTATGAATTTTCTAAAGATGATTCTTTAATGTAAAAAGAAATTTTTTTACTTTTATTTTTGATAAATTAAACTTGAAAAGAAATTTGAAACTTAGCAAATAGATTGTAAATTAAAAAGAGTTTAAATGAGCGTATGAAGATGCTTTTCTATTCTCATATTAATTAATTACAGTATAGAGTATATACTTCTCTAAAAGGAAAAATAATATTCTCCCCATGCATCCTCTTTGCGACAGCTGATTGTAGAATCTGGAATTAAAGATCTAACTTAAAATCAAACAAAATTATATATAAGAGCTAACCTAAATCAAGTGAAAAGAGAAAAACAAGTTCAAGCTTAGGAAAAGAACAAAAACAAGTTCAATTTAGTTTAAAATGTATCAATTAAATGAAATTTCTCGAGCTCTTGATTCAAGATATCAGTTAACATCTTGCATATCATAACTTTTGGGGAGTATGTCTAGTACTAGGGTGTGTTTTTAGTGGGTTTTTGATGTTGAAATTTGGAAATAGTAAGTGGCAAAATGATTTTTACATATGTCATTTTTCAAACTATAGTTGTGTCAAAAGTCTCGTAATGGCACAAATAATCATTGTCTGATTTTTCTATTTTAGTAAGCCCCTATATTGGCTTGAGGTAATGGTGTTACATAATTTTAAAAGCTGATAATTGAAACCATGGTCCCAGACTCCAGTTGAGACATGTGTACTTGATATTACATAATAAGAAAATGTAGCAAGCCTAGTTGGTGGTATTAGCTAAGTTTTAACATAAGTTTTCCAGCAAGTTAAAAAGCTAGTGTTTGTTGCTGCATGCTCAGTACAAAAAACTAGTTAACCTTAAAACAGTTAAAATACTAAGGTCCGTCTATCTGCTTTGAATGTTATTTAACTGTAAGTCTCTTGATAAATGCTGATGTAATAGGAGAGATTACTCTGTCAGAACAATAACAAGGCAAGAATTGTCGGCAGAAAAGGAAATTTAGAACTTGAGCATTGTTGTCATGGAGGATGGCCCTCACTAGGAAAGGTGTGGACTAAAAATTGCCAATTACTTTGGCACTTTGAACGAAATTTAAACTGGATTTTTGTTTGTGTCCTTGGCTCTTTTTACCCTTTAAGAATTAACATGCATAGATCATATAATTCGAAAAGGGGGAGAATGCATGATACAATTTTAATTCTGTAATCAGAAAATGATATAGTAGAGTGCATTTATGATTAAATTAGTTTCCGCATTGATTAGTGAATCAATATTAATGTGGTTGCACTTCTCAGGTATGATGAAATGGCATCCAAGTACAACGTTGAGTGCATTGCTGGAGGTAAGGTGGCCATTGTGAAAATGTTGAAATCTTGAAAAATGACTGCCATAATATCTTTTTTGGCATAAAATTATTCATTAATGACAAGTTTTCAAAAAATTTATTATGCACAGGTGCTACTCAAAATTCAATCAGAGTTACTCAGGTGTGTTTCAAATTTATTATTGTGGCTTTAAGCAATCCAATGATATATTGTGTCATAACAACAGACTGAGTTGACTTTACCATTTGCAGTGGATGCTTCAAATCCCTGGTGCAACCAGTTACATGGGTTGCATTGGAAAGGACAAGTTCGGGGAGGAGATGAAGAAAAACTCAAAACTAGCTGGCGTTAATGTATATTCTTTATTCTTCTTCATGCACTCATTTATTCATTCATTATTTGTTTTAAACATAAATTCATATTTTTAAGCATTGAACACTAATTTATCAAAGTTACTGACAAAGAAAATGCGATGACATTCAGGTTCACTATTATGAGGATGAGTCTGCACCAACGGGTACTTGTGGTGTTTGTGTGGTGGGTGGTGAAAGGTTAGTCTTACAGAAACTTGCTTTGCAATACCTTTTATTGCCTGCCATAGTCATAGCTTTTTGTTCCAGCAAACAAAATAAATTATATGCCTGAGCTCTAATGAGCTAACTAGTTGAACCTGTTACCTATATTATAATACTATGCGCACTCATGATATCCAAAGGTCTTGACCATCTCATGATATCCAAAGGTCTTGACCATGTCTAAGAATCGCGAGTCAGCTGTACTGTTCCTTGTCCACTTTGTTGCCCTAATGATTATCCGCTTTTGTATGTTGTTAGCTTTGATAATTTAAACAGCTCCCCTTTTTCTTTTCTCTGATTAGTAAAACCTTTACCTATATGATAGTATTATTTACCCCTCCAGAATGTTCTGTGCCTATTGATCCTTTTATGAGTAATACAATTGTGATGTCACTTTTCTTTTTCTTTTTTTTTGGGTCACCGATGATGGCAACTGACAGCCTTGTCACTTGTTGTTCTGCTCCTGTCAGTGAATTTGATTTCTTCAAAGTCATTTTGTAACTGCATGATTTGCAAATGCGAGTTTTGCAGCCAGGCAAACTAGAATTCATATCTGAACTTCTCAAAGGATTTAGTGCTTGGCATTAATGTGAACTACACATAGAATGACGTAACAGCAAGAATGTAATATTTATATACAGAATGGAAATGGAGCAAATTGACTGATGCACAAACATAATTCAGCTACCAAATGTTGTGAAAATAGAAAGTATTAATTCAGATTATATAGTCCGGCTCTGAGTAATTACGATTTAGCTACGTCAATGATCTAATGGTAGGAAACAATTGTACATCAGCCAGGGGCCAACGGTTTCAATTTTGCATTTTTTTTAATTTTATTTTTTTAGTATAGATTGGATTTGTATTTTATGTTGCACTTCTTTTGTGGACACTAAATCCTTGAATAAGTGCTAAGTCATTTTGGTTGTTGTCATTCAACTTATCAGGTTTGAATAAGCTATATGCCCTTAAACCTTGTTCAGAGTTCACAGGCTGGCTTTTTAAGACTTTCTTCCAGTTGGACTAATGATATTTTGCAATATGTGCAGGTCACTTGTTGCCAATTTGTCAGCTGCAAATTGCTACAAAATTGAACATTTGAAGAGACCAGAAAACTGGGCATTAGGTACTCTGTCTATCTTCATTCTTGGTCCATTTTTTCTGGTCTACATATATATATATATAACATGATTATTTTTTGACAGTTGAGAAGGCCAAATATGTCTATATTGCTGGATTTTTTCTCACTGTTTCCCCAGACTCCATACAGCTCGTTGCCGAGCATGCAGCTGCCAAAAACAAGGTATATCATCAACATATAATTGAAAGCTTCTTTCTTATTTGTTGTTTTTGCAGTAGCTTCTGCATGAAATGGCATTTATATTTCATTCTTCCGCAGGTCTTCATGATGAACCTTTCTGCTCCATTTATTTGTGAGTTCTTCAAGGATGCACAAGAGAAAGTTTTGCCGTAAGTATATTGATCTGTTTCGTGGTACTATTATAATTGAGTGGGCAAATGATGACGTGGGCTAATCCTTTTTTGAGGTTTAGGTATACGGACTTTGTTTTTGGAAATGAGACTGAAGCAAGAACCTTCTCAAAGGTTCATGGCTGGGAGGTAATGTATGGTTGGTACTAGATTTTATGAGTTGTTTCTTAACTGTTTAAATGATTTGGATGCTTTAAATGTTCAGACGGAGAATGTTGAGGAGATAGCTTTAAAAATTTCCCAGTGGCCAAAGGCATCTGGAACACACAAGAGGATAACTGTGATTACTCAGGGTGCAGATCCAGTGGTTGTTGCTGAGGATGGGAAGGTGAAACTGTTCCCTGTAATACTGTTACCTAAAGAAAAACTCGTTGATACTAATGGAGCAGGTACGTGCTCTATTAATATTCTCAATGACTCATGCTGTGACAGAAAAGCCTAACAAATTGCATGTCTATATAAAAAGCTAGAGTCTAGTAAACATTTTGTGGTAGTTCAAAGCTATGATTTGAGAAAATATTCCCTGAAATAAGTAAAAATCATTATGGAAGATCGGAAGCTAACTCAAATAGTTATAAGAAGCTCATGCACGATACTTCTGATTCCATTTCTCATTTCAGAAGTACTCAAAACGCAATGGTGTATTGAACTTCTTTATAAAATATTCATTTTTCATTTCTGTAGGGGATGCATTTGTGGGAGGATTTTTGTCTCAGTTGGTTAAAGAGAAACCCATTGAAGATTGTGTGAGGGCTGGTTGTTATGCAGCAAACGTCGTCATCCAAAGGTCTGGCTGCACTTATCCAGAGAAGCCTGATTTTAATTGATCCATTCTTTTTGGCTTCTCATGGCGGCCCTATCTCTATGTTTTAATTTTGATTGTTGAGAAAACACATTTCTGGTATTTTAATATCTGTATTTTACCGATTCCTTGTCATTCCCATTTCTTGTGCGAACTAACTTTGTGACTACGTGTTTGGGGTCAACAAAGCACATGCATGGCTTCTTGTTATAATTGTGACTCCAACCTATAATATATATACAGGCATCCTCTCTTTAGTGGAGGATTAGAATGCATTATACCAGACCAATGCTTTCGAGTCAGAATGAGTCGTTGAAATATATGTTGTGGGGTTAAAGCAGGATCTGTTTTAATCAGAATTGTGAGAGCGTGATAGAGCCACATTGTAATAAGTGTTTTGAGTCTCGGCAAAATGTGTACGTTATTAACAAATGCTGCATTTTTACATTGTTGTTTACTGTTGTTTCATGGTGTTACATTCTCATTTTAATTATACTAAATGGAAGTTGTAATAAGGGGGAGCATGTCCCATGTTGGATCTGGATGAAGAAGTGAAAGGGTATAAATGGGTTGGGTGTTAATTTCACCCAATGGTTTAAGTTTTTGGGTAAATGGACCCGTTGCAGTAGTGAACTCAAACACAGAAGTGGATTTGCATATATTTTCTCCTCTAGAATCCATTCCATTCCCCTCATTTTCAGGAGCTATGTTCCCTTTCTCATCAGCTACGCCTAAATTTAAATGCTTCAAATATGCAGGACTACTGTAAGATATTGTTTTATAAAACAATTGTAAAGTTTATTAACAAATGCATGTTGGCATGACTAATAATCCTATGTGGTGCACTAGACAATTTAAATCTAAGATTCAGATACAACATTTTTACATTGTTGTTTATTGTTGTTGCATGGTGTACATTTCTCAATTTAATTACACTAAATAGTAGTAGACTCAAACCTGTACCGAAGAGGCTTCACATATATTTTCTCTTATCCATTCCATTCCCCTCATACTATGCTCTCTCTCAAATCAGAATGTTATTTTTTCTAAAAAAATAAAAAAAAATAACTGGGATGGGGAGATCAAATTGTTGCCCACAATGATTTGGATGATAATATGGTGAAACTAGGGTGAGTAATTAGACCAACTAAATATGATTGGAATCCCATATTGAAAGGTTAATCACTTCACCTACACACACCTAAGCAAAAATGCAATTGTTCTTCCAGAACAATTGAAAACCAATTTTTTCCAACCTATGTAATGCCTGGCACCAACTTCGTGAGCATACTAAGTTGGACCATAAGAGATTGGGGAGGCTACCTGTTTTGTTTTTAACCCATATATTGTACACTTTTCTTGTAGAAGAATGTTGTTGACCTTTCATAATCAAGTTCCCGTTATTGAAAAACATGTCCAGTGACTTCATGTGTAACATTTATTAGATTGGATTTGAGAATTAACACATCTAACAAGCCAACGTGGCACTTAAATGGACTCTCACCAACAGAGTATGGCTGCGTTGAAGTTGGGGTGGGATGGATGGCTACAATTCCACATGTCCTTTGCCACCAAGAAAGTAGAGTCTGTGCGTGTGTATAGCTATATATATATATATATATATATATATATTTTGTGATGTGAAGGTGGGTAACGAGAGTAGTCAAACTTAGGATGCTAATGCCTCCTGTTTGTACTTTGTAGTGTGAAAGGCATCGAGTTATGACTTATATTATATAGGGTCTCTCTTTTTATATAAAAATATTTTAGTAAATAACACTTTCAATCACCGTAGTAGTGCATTAATTTAACATCTCAATGGACAGTCTGATATTTGATAGGGAGACAAAAACCAATGGTGAATGGAAATTCTTAAGCCTAGTTAACATTCTCTTATTTTCTTAAGCAATAACATTCAAAATATAAGGTAAGAAAAATTATATTTGCACCATTCATTCTGCACATTTCAAGTAAGTAATAATATCTGACCCAAAAAAGATATTTATTATTATTTTCAAGTTAAATGATTCTGAAATATATTCTATCATTCTCAACTTCATAAATAGACAAAAATTTGAAATAATTACAATGTAACTGTTCAAAATATATAACATCATATCTTTCAAAATATTACGTTACTGATATTATTCATGATATTTTAGATTCTGTAATTTGTTACAAATTTTCTCAATATACTTTATTTTCTAAGAGAAAGACCTTCTTCTAATTGAAAATGAGGGTAAAGTAAAGAAAATTCCAGAAAATTTTGTTCTTAAAAATGTACTGTACTGATTCACATGAAGATATTTCAGATATCTAAAGAGATAAAAAGCACCGATTAGAGATCGTTCAACGTTCAACCATAAAACAAATATTTATCATATTAATTAATTAATATATGGATTACATATGCGCGCACACATATATACTTTCATACTGCCTTGCGTGTATTCCACTCGCTACACAAGTCGCGCGTGATGCTGAAACTCCTCCTACTCGTTTTGGCAAACTCATCTTGTACGAACTTGTTCACAAGATTTCATCACTTTGTCCGATCAAACACTGAGAAATCACAAAGAAAAAAAAATCAAACGATTCATCATCACACTCATCACAGCCCTAAAACCCCCGTCATGAACCACCACCACCACCACCCATCACCGCCACACCTCGACCACCGCACCACCGCCCAAGTCATCAAACAGACCACCTCAATCTTCACCTCCCATCTCTTCACATTCCTCTTCCTCTCCTTCCTCATCCTCACCTTCCGCACCAACGTTGAGAACGGCACGCGCTACGTCACCGCCTTCATCGATCGGGACCCTTCTCTCAAATCCCTCCTCTCTCGCATCGACATCTCCGGCAAGACCCTCCATTCATCGTCCCCGTCGGACCATCTCGTCCACCGCCGCCGCCATCGCCGCCCCTTCCTCCACCTCACCCGCGTCGGAACCCTCGACGACGACTTCTTCTCCGGAGACGAGGACAACGATCGCTCCCTCTTCGGCAACATCCACAGAACCCACTCCAATGGCAGTTTCTTGATTCTCAACAACTTCGATTCGAGATTAGGGTTTTCGGATTCCGTCTCTGATAACGGAATTAGGGTTTCGGAAATCGTCCGCTCCGGCTTCTCTCTCAAAGCCCCTGAGAGTTCATTGCAACCAGTGGAAGACGAAAGTCATCATCAAAGCAATAGTGGTGATGAGGGAAACAAAATGAATGGTTCGGTGAAAGAAGAAAAAGATGAGGGCGAAAAGGTTGTGGATTTGCGGTTCTTTATCAATGGATTGCAGCTCGGACGCCGCGACGCCGCTGCGGTGTTCTTTCTTGTGTGTTTACTGTCTGCAGCCTACAGCTATGTGATTCTAGGGTTTCTGGTCACGTATTCGTGGGTTCTTGGGATTGCATTCGTCTCTGTAGTGAATGATTTGCTGGGGAGGTATCGATCATTTGCTGGGAATGTATGGGATGGTTCGAGATTGGGTCTGAAAAGGCTTTCTGGGTTCATTCTTATGAAATGGGCGGTCAGGGACGCATTGACCCAGCTTCTGGGTTTATATTTTTTTGGAGAAATCGAAGATCAATACTCTTTCTTTAAAATCTTTGTGAGGTTGAAATTGCTGCCTTTCTCAATTTCACCTCAGTGGATTCGGGGATTCGATAAGGAGCTTGCTGGGTTTTTGCTTGCTTGGTTTTTGTTGGACACTTTTGTGGGTTTTATTTTTTCTGTTGATTCCTGGGTTGCTATTGTGGACTCGAGAAGGAGTGGGAGGGAGATTGTAAGAGAAGGGTGTTATTTGTTATCAACAATGTTACACCAGGCAATCAATATCAAATGTTTGGAATCTGTGCTTTGTGGGTCATTCACGAGATGGATTTTGGCTGATTTTTTCGGAAAATTGTTTGCTTCTGCTTTCCAGTCAGTGATGGAGGTTTATTTTATGGTGGCTTGGTTAATATTCTACTTTGCTGTGAGGTCTAAGGATGCTACTTCTCTTGGAAGGACATTTGGGCGGAGAGAGTTGGAGGGTTTTATTGTTGATGGCCTTAGATGATAGTCAGTGGGATTTGATTGACCGAATTCTTCAAGTCCTCAACTGGACGCTATAATAGCGGTAATGTTTCGGTGCCTTCTTGTATTCCTGTTTCGCAATTAATGTGATTCAGCAGTGCCATTGTTTTATGATGTCACCAGCAATGTGTTGTATGTACTTTACCTTGAGGCAATATATAACTTGTGAATATTTCTTACGATAATGAGTCATGTGTATACTTTGTTGCAGTCTTGGTTTCTTATGCTCTGCAATGTATTTTTTTCTTAGTGATTAGGGAATAGTCATGATTTACATCACCATGGGTCTCACTTATGCTGTTCATGGAAATGTAGTATATAAGAGAACAATCTTCTTTTCTTTACTTTTTTTTCATGTTGCATTGATGGCATAAATGGTCAGAAAAACGCTTCTGGATTTTCTTTTGTTTTGTTTCTTTCTTTCTTTATATATGTATATATTGTTTCACGCAATTGTATTGGCGTTCCATTGTTGCTACCATCATCTTGCTTGGTGTATGGGCTTTTTCCGTGCACCTTGCTTCTGCTTTGTAAGGCACTCTTATGTTGTTTAACTCTTGTGGTAGACCCAAAAAGAGCCCCATGATATGAGCCACATTATCATGGGGCTCAGAAGCATGGAAACATATATTGTGTTATAGAGTTAGAATAAGGTAGCATGAAGGGTATAATGTGATGGCTGATTTATGTATTAAGAAGGAAGAAGCATTCAGGTGATGTGCAAGAGCTAGTTTCTTTTATGCTTTTTACCTTATGAGGAGACCTCCATGGATCTGTTGTTGGTTAAATAATCACTTTCACAATTATGATAAGAAAACAGTGTTCTTTGGCACTCCTCAAAGTGCTGGTGCCTGAGTCAGAAGTTCTTTCATGCACTAAGAGAGAAGAAAAAGACATAGTTCTGTCGCAAATCTCATGCGCCCGCTTGGTTCCAACTTCCAAAGCCTTCCAAGTGCTTTAGATTCCCCATAAGCGAACCTTTTTGGAGAAGGACAACTATCAGGTGGCTGTAGTGTGGATTGCTTAAATCAGTCGATCCCTCCCAGTGAATGGTTCGATCAGCATTTTAATAATAGGGACTGAAGCTAATAACTAAATATGCACCCACAAAATGTACAATAAAATTACACCCTGAGGCTTTTGTAGAGTAATCATTTGAGTTCTGGTGCTGACAGAATAGCAACTATTTTTATAATAGCAAAGATTTGAAAGGAGGTTTTGCATAGTTGAATACAGGTTGTAGAATTGATGCCAGTTTAGAATCTAATCACTGTATGTTTTCTTTCTTTTGAAAATCCGGCTTATCTTAGTTGCACTTGTGTCTTCTTTGTTAATTATTTTGATTGCATTTATTTTTCATTGTTGTCTCATGATCTCAGAGAAACTGGATCCTCTGGTCTAATCTGTTGGTTCTTTAGATACATGAGAAATATTATTTAGTCTCAATTTGTGACACTTTGTCCTTCTTCTATTTTACATGTTAGATTTGTGTATGGAGTTCATAGAGGTGTCGCTAGCGTTGTTCCTGCCTAAAATTATGCAAGTAATTTAGCTGTTGGAAAGGCCAGTAGATGAGAAGAAGCTTCTAGAAGCAAACTTAATAGGGAGCAAGAATGAGTTGATCATATTAGTTGTTTGGCTGTAAGTTGATAATTGATGTTTTAGTACCCTGTGTTTTTTAGTTGCCTCAGTAGAAGAGTATTATGCTTGTGTTTTCACGTTGCTGCTTCTTTTGTTCCTTCATTTGCTTTTGTATAAAGTAAGATTGAAGCCATGTGGCATGACAGTCGCACCCTCTCTTCTCTTAGATTGTGACTAGATGTTTACAAATCAACATAGAGAACTATTATTTTCAAGAGTAAGGCTTTCGAGAGAGTCCTCCCATGAGAAGCATGACCCCTCTTTGTTGAATGTTGACTGTTGGATTGAAAGATTTATTAAAATATTCATTTTACTTTTCACAGATCTCAAAACTATCTCAATCCAGCAGTTAATAAAGAGAGCCCACGGCTCTTGCTATAAGAGGGCTCTCTTGATAGACTTACTCTATTTTCAAATCCTTTGCTTTTGTAGGGTTGTCAAAGGTTCTCCTCTGAGTTCTCTTCTTGCCATTCTCTCTCTTTTAATCTGGACGTCTATCTTCCAATCCACAAACTTGTAGGACATCATTCCTTCCACTGGAACTGTATTAAGTTCCTTGGATGTCTATAGCAATTCAAGAAAATACCTTGAGTCCCTCACGGTGCTTTTAGTTCCATCGATACCTCCTTGAGAGTCCCTTTATCACCCATACCCCTCCCATCTCTTTTTATTGTTGTTGAATAGCATTTTTATCCTCCGATCCTATTTGGAGTTTTTACTGTTGTGAATTTTATTGATATCTTTCGAGGCAATAAATGCAATTGTCCTCACTATTTGAAGGGTTTGGGCACCCAATATAATGAATGGTTTATTTCCTTTTGCGTCCATTACTTTCTCGTGTGGTCACTGGTCAGAAACCATGTTTACATAGGATCCTCCAATGCAAGACCGACTTGAAATGGATGGTAGGTGTTACAAGGGGAGATTTGTCTCACATTGGATCCAGATGGGAGAGTGATTGAGTATAAATGGATGGATATGCAGCCCTACCCAACAGCTTAAGCTTTTGGATAAATGGGCAAGCGTCCACCCATTACAGTTGGTATCATAGCCAAAGCCAGACCCAATCCTTAATCCGGTGCCATGCCAAGCGCCCGGTCCAGAAGGCGTCCGGGCGAGCCACCAGGGTAGGCAGGGTGGGCCAAACGCAACGAGAGCGTTGCAAATTCGGGTGAGGGAGAATGTTACAAGGGGAGATTTGTCCCACATCGGATCCGGATGCGAGAGTGATTGTGTATAAATGGGATGATATGCAGATCCAACAACTTAAGCTTTTGGGTAAATGGGCAAGCGCCTACTCGTTACAGTAGGATTGTACAACATGGTTGTAACTTGTAACCATAGTCTTGCCATCCTTTTCACGTTGTTGATTTGGAGTTTTTTAGATTATGATCTTGATTCTGAACATATTGCACGTGCTACCAGTATCCACCACCCTCTTTTGAACAGAAGATCATGAGCGAGTGTGTCTATGGCTCTTTCTAGTCTTATGAACTTCCGCAGGACTCAGGTTATCGTATCTTTAACCTGATTATTTTAATTGCTTTGTGTAGTTTCACAACCATTTTAGACTGGTTTTGTCATTAGTTGTAGGTTTTAACATTTAGCAATCTCTTCAAAGTAGTTTGTGTAGTTTGAATGAAATTGTACTGATATATTTAATTTTCCCCTTTTACTGTTCAACACAAAGAATTGAACCCTACAATTAATACTGTGTCTGATACGTACATAAAAGGGGTTGCAAACAGGAGTTGAAGCAAGGGATATAAAAAGATAAAAGAAGAAAAAGGCTTAAATAACGGCTTAGTAAGACTGTAAGACATTTAGATTTCATGTTGGGACTCTGAATTGAGAAAAGAGCCATGGTGAATTGGCTACTCTATTTGGATAATGTTGCAACGGAGGAGTTAGAATGATAAGCAGGAGGGAACAGAATCACTATGCCTAGTGATGGTGATAAGGAAAACGTTTTTGAATTTGAAAATTCAAGAAAGGCAATAAGAAATCACTAGCCTAGTATCGGTGATTAGAAATACCTTTTTGAATTTGAAATTTCAAGAAAGACGATAAGGCTGTGTTTCTAAGCTGTATTTTCTAATATTATCGAAGCAACTAGATTAAATGATATGCATCAAGTCCTTGCATACATGTATGTTGGCATGCTGAAGAAACAAACTAGATCAATTTATATACGGGAAAGGACACAAGATTGGAAGTTCAATCTCGAATTTGGACATTGGAAGAAAATATTGATAGGCAGGGATCATTATTTGGTGCAACAGTAAGAGTTTGACTTGACACAAGCATGAGAATGTGTGTTCAATTTTTAGAGCAGCCGCTTTATGCAAAATAATAGTTAAAGGTTAGATCTGATTCTAATTATTCCCTCTATCACTACTTAATGGCCTCTTAAATAATTATTGGGACCACGCTTAGTTTGTATGATTTGTCTAGTCTCTAAATGGAACAGTGTGCCCCTTAAATGTACCTTTGACAATATACTTTAACATGTAATATATTTCGACATCATAGAACCCAAATTCTTTGCAAGTTAAATTACTTACTTTGAAGATTCTCCTCTTTTGGTGTCAATATGAATGAGAACAGTTTTTGCGACTTTTCAAGAGTAATAGCGGGATCAATTCCTGTTGAAGCTTTTTTTCACTGCAGCTGCAAGGGATATTGTGACCTACTGGGCAGTGTTGTACTCTGGGTGGATAGGACCAATTCTTTAAGTGCTCTGTTTCTTGATGTCCAAACCTGTAACTTTTTGCCTAGTTTGATCTATCTGGTGATGCCTAGGATTTACGGAGGATATGGTACTAGACATTTCGGTAGAGAAGAAGGTGCATGTTGTTTACATTGGAATTAAGGTTTTGTTGAGTCTACTTTTATTCAATAACATAGGCAAAATTTTTACATATTTGACTGGCTTAGTTGCATTTTACACTTTGAACAGATGAGAAGGATAAATGATGAGTAGAATAGCTTTTCACCATCCTTGATCGAAATACATTTATAGGAAAGTGAATATACATTACAATTCAGCATAATCTACAACAGGTTATGGCTATATATATATATATATTGTTCTATATTAGTAGTTAACCTCATGAATCAAATATAAGAAGAGCTTCATTGATGGACCCCGTCAAAGGCACAGAGAAATCCTTCGATCATGTGGAGCTGTGGCACATCTAACAACACTGAGGAAGATATTCTCATCACACGGGATGCAGAGTTTTGAGTCAGCAGTGAAATCATATTCTTCCCGAGCCCGATCCAGCAATGCCTTGAAGAGTGGATGCTGGAGTAAGGTGATTTTTACTACAAATCTCTTGTGATGTTCACCTACATAGACTACCAAGTGACCCTTTGGGACATCTCTTGGAATAGTGTTCTCTTCTTGTGTGGAGCGCCATAGAGCCCATTGATAGCAGTACTCACAGACTGCAGAAGGTATGACTCTACTTCCCATCTTTCTCCACTTTTTAGAGCATGCCCTGAGAAATGTTCCCTTTATAATCTTCATATATATGTTTGTGTATTTGTGTGTGTATATATATACGTGTGTATTTGTGTAAGAGAGAGAGAGAGGAAAAGAGAGATGGTGGTACGAAAGTGAAAGGAAGGTATATATAGGAGTGGAAATGAAAAGAGGCCATAGAGCCAATGTTTTGGAACATTTAATGGTTGACAAGATGTGTAGCTAAGTTAGTGATATTTTATATATGGTATATATTTGCTGCGCGTTGCCATCCTGTAACTTTCTCTCTCTTCTTTATTTTATTGCATCTCAATACGAAATTGTACGAACATGCATTGCATGACATGATATATAGCTGTATACACACGTATATACACACACACATATACATATACATATACATAACATGAACAAGTGAGGTCACATAAAATCTCTCTCGTAAAAAGTGGCGATGGTTTATCAGTGAATCTTTCGAGTTTCTCAAAAACAGACCCCACAAGTTGAGAGTGGAGCAGATAAGATTTATGAATGAGGGATGGGATAAGCTTCTTGGGCAAAGTGCAATCCCCACTTATAATTGTAAATTTGTTACTTGTAGATATTGTAAAATATACATGTTTGTATACTTGCATGCTGCAACAGTGATGTGTGTCTATGAGGGACAGAGAGAGAGAGAGAGAGAAGCTTAAACTCTGGTTAGATCTTCTTTGTCATGTGAACATCTAAGCAGTCTAACAATTCAGTGGCATATTAGGTGATTGCTGTGCAAGTAGATGGAGTTTGAAGAACGCATGAACAATGATCTTAAGTTGAATTTTTTTTTGGGAAGGTAAACTAAGTTGAAATTTTCATGATCACCTACCACTATATTAATCATCTACTTTTGGACTAGCACTGCACAGGTGGATATCACATTTCATGAATGATGTGAGATGAGATAAGCCATCATCTAATTATATATTATAATGACATAAATTTTATCATTTTATTACTCTTGTATTCTAATCAAGTAATTGCCTTTAACATTAATAATTGATCATCTTGATCTGTACTGTCTATCCTAAGTGGGTACAATCCGTACCACTTTGTTCTTTATGTAGGCTTCATTACCATTTTACTTGAGTTTTGGATATTGGGATACGTTCTGATCTCTTCTGTGCTCTCTGACCACACATAATGCAGGAGATAAGATGTAGAATACACAAGTGGAAAAAAATAATTATGTGTTTGGATATTGTAATCCCAAACAGTCTTTTGTGATCTACTGAAGATTCTTCCGTCAAACAAATGACCGTTACAGATCTATTATAGTGTTGTTTTTTTTTCCTTAGCCATAAAAGTAGTCAAATGGTTATGGATGAGGTTGGAAAATGTGAACACCCGTGCTCATGGATTTCATAATGTTATGGCCTAAGAAGTTATGAAAGAGTAGGAACAAATGAATCAGATATATCCCAAATCCATACCATGGTTTCCCAGAGTGGCGTATTAAATAGCTTTTACAAAATTTTGGGGATTGCAATATGTTTCAAACACATGCACTGCATAATGTGCAACCATACATAATTTTCATGTATGCTATTGTGCATGACATGTTTTTATTTTTAACCTCGGCAAGAAACTGATTCACACACCCACTCTATCTCTAAAGAATTTGAACCCTAATCTTCTACTTTAGAAGGGAAGGATTTAAGTTTGTTCAAAACTAGTGATTTCATAGTTTGTAGACATATAATTTACTTGTATTTGTTTTTGTAAAGATCTCATTGCTAATTCTTTTGTCACCCGAATCAGAGTTGATAAAACTTTTATGTCCTAGTTAAAGCAGTTTCTGTTGTAAACGTTAGGATTTTAAAGATTTTGTTATTCTGAACGCTGTTGCATTTAGTTTCGGTGAGATTTTTTTTAAGTTTTTCTTATTTATTTGGCTTGGAAATGTGAGATGTGGTTCAGAAAGATGGGTGTTATTGTTGAGAGTTTTGTGGTGGGTTCATGTGTGTGTTGATATGATGATACATTTGCAGAGAATGATTGAAAGCCAGCACATGGATTCATCCCCTGAAGTCAATTCTGTGTTGTTCAACTTGAAATGAAGAAGAGATCCTCAATACGACACATCATTCTCATAATTTGCAAACAGTTCTGCAGACATTGAGAGAGAGAGAGAGAGATTGGCTTGAAATGGCTAGACTTCATTCAGGTGAACATTATTGCGTCATTAGGCAATGAGAGTGAGCCATTATAGGCGGATCTAATTTTCACCTTTGATAAAGAGTACAAAATTCTCTCCGGCTCTTCCATAAGAGGAGGGATGAGAGAATTTGTTTGATTCACAAATTTAATTAATATCGACTAGAAATCTATTTCTTTTCTTATGCAATTTGATTATTGGTCTCATTCAGATATTTTCTTTCATAGGAATACGTTCAATAGCAACTGCGTGTAAAAAATGTCTGATTAAACAAATTTTAAACAGAAATTGAAATGGAAAAACATGGTGAAATCAAATGGCGAGTGCAGCCAAGGAAGGAAGATGACGCACATGAGGATTGGGCCACTAACCTCACGGGTGGGTGGGTAGGTGGGTAAGGAGAGAGAGACAGCTAGTTGGTGACACCTCTAGACACTAGCGTGCACCTCAGCCCACCGGCCAATATGTATGTATCAACATACGAACATAATATACATGTATGAATGTATATTATACTATATGTATATATGGATATTATATAGTAAATTACAATAATTTGATTGGACTGAAGCAGGCTGTTTTGCACGTTCACTCATCAGGCTATTCATTCATTAGCTGGCACCTTTTAATTTCATCCCAACCACCCTTTCTTCCCATCCCATGCTTCCCCTTGGGTGGCATCCAAAACAAATATAATAGGGATTTCATCTTTCATTCATACTTGTAGCGTACACTGCTTCCTAATTGTTATCTTCCACCCCTTATTTCATAAAATATACATACATACATAGACACACGTGTATTTGTGTGTTCTGATTATATGTTTCATTGATCTAAACTCTACTTCTGAATATATGTTTCGTTGATCTAAATTCAAACTCATACCTGTTGTTTGTCCAGTGCACCTTTAATAATATTTGTGCCATTAAAATGATATATGAATATACTTTAATAATAATTTAATTTTTTAATTGTGCCAGCAGCATAAATATAAATATATATTATATATATATATATATATATATATATATATATATATATATATTTAATATCAAAAGATAATTAACATACTATTCTTTCACATCATAAAGCAACTCAAAAGGGAAAGTACATGTAGCAAGTTGATTTTTAGAGAATTAACCTCACTTACAAAGTGGAACTTCACTATTTAAGCAGCTAATATAGACAAAAATGTCAATCAATCCTATAGTTTTATTTAGTAATCATATGCATGACATTATATGAAAACCTCTCGTCTCAATCTTTGGTAAAAACCCCAAACTAATCCACCAACCACCACCACATTTGTTTTGAAGAACTATATTGGAGTGACATTACGTGAAAGTGAAACCCACTCACTCTTGTCTCATCTTTGATAAAAAAAAAAAATGCTATCCTAGGGATATATGGAAATATGCTATCCTTCTCGTGATCAAAATTATATACTAGGCACCCGGTAAATATATATATATATATATATATATATAACAAAAATCCTGAAAAAATATGTTAAAAGATCTTTTAATACGTATCTTATTGTGTGAAATAAGGAGTACTCATGCCAAGTTTACTATAGAAAGTAAATCCTTAAACTCAACTTTCAATTCTCAGTTAATTAAATAAGGGACAAATAATCTATTTTATAATTTAAAGCCACGGACAATTTGAGTTCAAATTGCAAAAGTATAATAAATAAAAATAAACAAAATGGCTGTAAGGAGTACAAGGAATATCAAGAAAAACAACTAAATTCCAGGTTAGAGTTTGAGCAATGTAAAATGCTTAAAATTACATAAGATTAATAATAAGAAGATTCGACTAAAAGATAGTAATCTTTACGAAGATTTCCCACTTCATCAACTTCATATGGCTTACTTACATCCCACCAAGTCACCATCTCACAAAGATAGAAGTGACATATTTAAGGAGACAAAACTATATATCAGATTGCGCTTTTTCTTTCCCAGGAAGCACATATAAGATAATCATCACTGAAACGACGCATGGCCTGAAGCAATATTTAACCCAGTAAGTGATGTACATACGAAATTTTAAACTCAAAACACCAAACAGAATATACAAAATAATTCTCAGAAAGTCGTTAATGCTCCTGCAAAAACAGAACAGCAGGCTCACTGAATTTCTAGGCATAGCTTAATGTATCCACATGAAAAATCAACGATCCAATATTGGCAATTTGGCATGTACAGATGTGGAAAGCAGGTCTATGAAATGCATTGGCACTTCCGAGTAGCCATTTTTACAGGCTAGCATTGCAAATTACTAGAAAGGTCGTTTCATTTGCTGCACAAACATGTGTCAAACAAGTTCTGTAAGGACAAAGCAGAACAGTTGCCAGGATTCAAACAGTTGCCGAAATGTTGAAACTCTCGGCACCTTCAGTTATTCGCTACAACAATGCCAAGGCATACCGGAATAAGCAATGAAATTACCTCAGTATGCTATGTTAAACAGTTAGAGAATGATATCAATTGCGAAGTTTAGAGGAGATGATTTAGGCATCTTCTGTTGCACTAGGATTCTATGATCATACAATCTTATGATCCAACAATACAAAATTGATCAATATCTCCCAAAAGATCCCAGGAGGGTAGAATAACTATTGAATCCTTATAAAGATTGTAATAGCGGGATTTCAAGTTGACTCACTATTCTACATATCCTACTGTATAGCCTTATATTTTTCTAGTATTCCTTTTCTAAAATTAGGATGGTAACTCGGATATAGTTATATCAGAATATTCTTCTATAATTGACTCTGAAACTACCCTTTTAAGATGTTTCAAACTAGAACAAAATAAGGTCACTTCATTCCTCCTTTCTCCTACTTTAATTACTAGTCAACAATGTCTAAATCTTAGATCCTCCCAATCCATATTGAACTCCATACTTGATAATTGTTAATAAATTAATAAAAAAGAAAAGAAAAATTGTCTTGAATCACACGTTTTATTGATTAGGAAAGAGAAATAGAAAGAAAAACGACTGAAAAGCCATGGATCTTGATCAAAGTTAAAATAACAGCTGACACTATCCTCATGCCTCCATATCCCTAACTTCCACTCCATCCACATTTACAGATCCATGACAACTCTTCTTTGTTCAGCATTAATGGACATCGGTCATGTGGTTTGAGGATAAACAATTGAAAGATGGAACAAAGATTAACCTTAGCTTCTCCCTTCAGGATCAAACCCGGCACATGAAGAAAATTAGGTGGTTTATAAATTGAACGGTTCGTTGTGTAGGAAAAATTACATTATATATATATATATATATATATATATATATATATATATATATTCCGATAAGTAGGATAAATTACAGAATCAACAGGTCACTTTTCCATAAATGGGCTAAGGATTAAACCTAGCCTTACTCTATCTGTGGCCAACCCCAAGCAAGAAAAACATATTTGATCAAATGGCTTGTTATCATTGAGAGCAGTGAACCTCATGAACTATTGACCGCTGACTTTTTTTTATTCACCCCACATATTTCTAATATTTTTAGGGCAATTGCTCCTGTTTCTAAATTTGTAATGTAAGCCCAACTCCATCCATATATGCTTAGTGCCTCTGCACAAGCCAATTTCAGATTTGCAAAACGAAGAAACTGCATCAGGTAGTTTGAAGGTCAGCTTAAAATCTTAGTCAGAACTAATGGACATTTTCTGCTATTAAAGGATCCATGTTACCCAACATTAAATAAAACATAAAAACACATTGTTAAGCTTGTACTATGAGCCTCCAGCACAAGCAAAGAATTTAAACCAGTGAACTAACCCTTTCCCATTAAGAATCTATTTTCCTCACCATTCTATCATTGGAAAGCAAAATATAGACTTTCCCTGTCTACCAAATTCAATTCAGTGAATAAAACATAATTATACTCAAGTACAGTGGCCAATAACAAAGATGAAACTACTAGTATGCAAATTTTCTAACCTATGACTGTCCTTGGATTTATCCGTTTCCCACCACATCTCCTTGAGCTGCCCCATTAACGGCCAAGCCTCGGATTTTAACATCATAGAAAACTTCTTCAACTCTTCTTAGGTCATACTTCATTCCTGCAACAAATGAGATTAAAAACTTTTGCAACAACTCGAATAAACTATGAAATTGTTTAAGTTTTCAAAAAACAAGGTATAAATATCAGAATCAATGCCTACCATCAAACTTCTTGCGCAAGAAATCATTTCGGAGATTAAGCATGCGGAATGCTGCATGAAGATCTGTTAAGAACTTTAAAACCTTTCTTGGGCAATCATAATCCCCAGATGTCACTTGATTCACCACATACCTTGGCTGCACAACCCAATTACAATATTCAACTTCACCTAAGGCAAATGGCACATACTACTGAATGCTGACATAGATCTTCACATCAGTTCAAAAAGGCACTCCATCAATTTCAAGCACTAAAACATGAAAGGGCTGTGCCCAAGAGCAATCCTCAAATTCACTATCAAGGCAACAGGAAAGCCATAAAAATTATCATGCATCGTGCCTTTGATCAATAAGAAATTATTCATATAGAACACATTTGCAATTCATGACGACTAATGAGCATTACATTCCAGAAATATTTACACCCATTGCAGATGTTTGTCTTCCAAAATATCCTAAGTACATAACTGAACATTTTTCTTTTCAAATTTGTCAAGTTTCTACCAATTTCAAAAAAAAAAAAATAAACACTCATTTCCATCAAAAAGCTACATATATACAGAGTCAGAAAAGACAACCCAATTACAATATTCAACTTCACCTAAGGCCAATTACACATACTACTGAATGCTGACATAGATCTTCACATCAGTTCAAAAAGGCACTCCATCAATTTCAAGCATAAAGCATGAAAGGGATGTGCCCAAAAGCAATCCTCAAAATTCACTATCAAGACAACAGGAAAGCCATAAAAATTATCATGCATCATGCCTTTGATCAATAAGAAATTATTCATATAGAACACATTTGCAATTCACGACGACTAATGAGCATTACATTCCAGAAATATTTGCACCCATTGCAGATGTTTGTCTTCCAAAATATCCTAAGTACATAATTGAACAATTTTCTTTTTAAATTTGTCAAGTTTCTACCAATTTTTATTTATTTATATATTTTTTTAAAAAAAATTCATTTCCAGCAAAGAGCTACATATACAGTCAGAAAAAGGCAACAGATCAGATTTTTTTTTTTTTTTTTTTTTATTTGAGCTTGGTGGATGTTTCTTACCAGTTCATTGGACATAAAACATATTCCTGCATGATAACAAGACAACAAGATATTACATCAGTAACGTCTATTAAAAATGATACATGACACAGATCAATTACTAGAAATGTAGGCAACTTTTCATTTATGCCAAAACAAACATAAAGACATAAAATTTCCTTTAAAAACAACAACCTCCTACGCAAAACCATTAAAATTTATAGCAAGTTCAAATGATATTCATCAACAGAGCACACTCTCCAACCCATAAAAGGGGTGGTACAGCATGGTGGTAATGCTCCTTTTGGTAGGAGCAAAGAGTTAAAGGAAGGGAAGGGGAAGGGGAAGGAGATGAGGAAAAAAACAGAGGGATAAAACAGACTTCCTATTCTTTCAAGAGAAGGGCGGCTCTCCAGCTGGGTCCGCCAAACCTTCTCTTTTCTTTTCTTTTTTTACCAAAAGAGGATAAGGAAAGCATAAAAAATATTAATAAATAAATACATAAAAATAAAAACCTTTTTTTCCCTAGGATACCTTTTCCATCGCACCTACCTTCCCTCTCCCTCCAATAAAACATAAAAGCTACAAATGCATACAGAGAAAATTGTGAAACAAAGAGAACTAGAAAAGCTAAGGCAAGGCAGCTCTAACTCCTTATGGTCTCCGTAAGGCTCAAAACCAACCAAAATCCAACTATATCATATCAATTTGTACCCACCCAGCTTGTTTCTTATGCACCTCATGTAAACACTTGTTCACGTCAAATTATCATGTATAACAAGCATTGGTGTTCATTAAATACTTATGGAAGGATCTTTATATGTGCCTTCTCTTAATTGAATGCACCACCAAACTATTGTGAAAACATACAAACTTACAGATATAAAAACAATCACTAAGACTTCAATAAAAAAATTCGCCTTATAATTATCTAATAAATAATTCTAGCCTTCCTAAGCAGGGAAATGCAACAGCAATTTCCTCATCTAGTGAAGACTAAGAATTTAAGCCTTTAAACCTTTCTGCATTCCAGAAAAATAGAAAACAATCTAGTACTCCGGGTCTAGGAAAATCAGTATCAAGAACTCCACCCTTGTCCTGCCGTATTTGCATCTTTTCTACATAAGAGTGAAGCATGAACAATCAGCCCTGACAACTTATAGATCTAAGAAAAGGAAACCTTAAAAAATCTGTCTAAAACCAAAGTGAGGGCAGCAGCAGGCAGAAAGGGAAAATAAGTAAGGACATGATGAAATCCTGAGAGTATGACTGTGGGCTGTTCTTATTTTTCTTTTCTCTTCTTTTCGTTTTCTTTTTTGGTGGTGGGGTTGGGACCGTTGGGTGGGGGAGATGAATTCCATGTCCCTCCAATGCAGTGAATTCTAAAGTGGCCCGCAACTATTTAGTGTTTTTAAAGCTTTTACTGTCAAAACAACACTATCTTAACTTGGCAAAAGATAAATACTCTGCATAACCCGTAATTAAGAGAGATGGGATTCAATTGCGGTGTAGAAGTGTACGAGTTAGTTAAACCTTAACAGAAAGTGATCTAGTGTTACAAGGGGTCCTTGTCCCACATCGGATCCGGATGGGAAGTGAAATGGTATTTATGGATTGGGTGTTAACACCACCTAATAACTTAAGCTTTTGGGTTGGACCGTGAAGCACCCGGCCCGTTACACCTAGCCTTCTGGTTCAATTTGCCCTTCAAGGCTTAGTTCTATTAAAAAATGTCACCCAAGTGCTAGGGTGGGCCAACCAAATCCGAACCCAGCTCAGCTGTCCCATTTGTTGATCCCCATACACAAACACATAGTGGAAACTTTAAAGCACTCACCAATAAGATAGTCTTCGATGTCCAGTCCAAACTCTGAAGCATCCACTGCATGATTGATAAAAAAATAATAATAATAAAAAAATAAAAAATAAAAAGATGAAAGAGATAAAAGAATGTTAATAAGGCAATTTTTAAAGCATTACAAGTTGTTAAGCAATTCATGTTCATGGCTAGCCAGCATAAAAATAATAATAATAATAATATAAGGCAAGTAACAGCTGGAGTTATGAGTTCTTTCTCACCCATCAAACAATATGGAGGAAATAATGTAGCAACAAAACTGTCTTTGCCAACTTATATGTTTACTAGGTTTGTCGTGTACATGAAGCAAACAAGACAATAAGCTACTTATTACCAAAATCTTCAGTCTCATGTCCACATATTTTTAGGATTGTGCATGACTAAGATAAGTTCTTTTGTTTTACAATCTCATATATAACAACTTTAAGATTCTAAACAAGGTCAATATATTTCAAATTTGACCCGAACTCTTGCCTAGGAGGATGGCATGCAAGGACAAGGAGAAATGTGAGATGGTGCTTCTAGGTTTTGCTTCGTTCAACTTCACAACTGAAAGCCTCTCAAGCTTTCTCATTTCTTGAAAGTTCTTCTGTATGGAAGAACTCAATTTTATAACTCTACAATCCCTATTTTGAAAATTCAATACCTCAACCAAACACTAAACTTAGCTTAACAATAAGTTCATTTAATAAAGGGATGAAAAATAAAATACACCCCAAAAAAAGTCATGCAATCAACAACGACAAATATAGGTTGTTATTATGAACAACCGAAGGAGAAAGAACATACACCCAAGTTTCCCCTCAGCTTCAGTATGCATAAGAAGACTCCCTGTTTCTAGCCAGTGCATGAAAGCCAGCAGCGAGACTACAGTTTGTGTCTCGCTCCTCCAATCCCCATTATACCTAAATATAACCACAAAAACCACAACTAGTAACAATAATTAGCAAATGAAAAGAATTAGAACCAAACTAACTTTCATGTGTCCCACTCACCTATAATACTGCCCAGGGCATTCATGAAGAATTTCAGCAAGACGATTATAAAGCTCCTTCAGCGCACCAATTTGAGCCTTGGCCTTCTCTAAAACATCTAATCGTAAATAAAAGAATAGAAAAAATTACTCCATGCCCTAATTTGAAATGTTATTAGAGAATATTACACATCAAATTGTTAAAAGGGAAAGAATATATAATGTTTAAGACAGCCACTCTTTGGAGAAGTTAACAAGATCACGATTCAGTGATTAAAAAAGAGAGAGACAATAGAGTGGGAGTGTTTTTTGGGCATACTATGGTGAAATTGTTTAGTTGATAAGAAATGTATGAAACTAAAGAATATATGAAATAATATGAGAAGCAAGGGTCCGTGAATATAAATGCGTATATAAACATATAAAGAACAATTTACACAACTGATCCACTAGATTAAATTAAGGTAGTGAAGGCGAGTCCCTTGAGATTGAAAACCAAGAGACATTTAACCTTCACACAGAGTTCCACTTTCTTCGTCAGTTCAATTCATAGGAATCATTTTGGAAGTTCGTTCATCACCTCTAGAGTAAAACATCTTGATCATTTCATTAAACAATCAAGAAAAGTATTTACAAAATGCTAACCAAACATAATATTGAACATTTTCTTATCCTTTTCTGGCATTTTTAACGAGAACCAAAAGGAAAATAAAAAAAATTAAAAAAACCTCTCTCGCCCCCAACTTTCTCATCGTCCAAACAGAGGCTACACCTAAACCCTAAAATCATTACCAGGGATGGGACGAGATTGATGAACGAGAAGCAGACTGGAATGCATTAGCCTTGTGGCTGATTCGATCTCCAAAGCGACGGCCCGAATGCGATTGCGTAAGTTTCCGGAATCTTCCATTTGAAGACGGAAGTCCTCGAACTGCTTCTCCAGTGAAGGAGAAGAGGGAGGCGAGTGAGTTTCACCGCCCGCCATTGAAGACAAAAGGCAAGATAATGGTCGGGACGTGTAACTTCTGCGAAGAGAATCTGTAATGGCGGAGACAGTAGGGACCAGAAAGAGAGTAAAGTTAGGAGTAGGGTTTAAGGAGCGAGAGAGCGTGGTGTAAGCGTTTCGAAACGCAGGCTTCATTTCAAGGTTTTTAATTCGTCTCCTTTTAGGGTCTATATAACACTGAAATAGTGTTTTTTCCTTTACTAAACAAGTTCACAGCCAACCCTCAAAAATATTGTATCGTGTCACTACTTGTATAATTACCACTTCAAAAAAAAAAAATTTGGATGTTTAAAAATATTTGGGATTTATATAACAATCTCAAAGCACGATATGTATATATTATACATGTCCTGCATCAAATTGATAATATTATGGGTAAAGTTTTTGTCCTCTAATTTTTATGCAGTGTTGGGTAGGATGGAAAAAAAGAGGTGTGGAAATAAAATATAAAGGAAGAAATGAATGATGATAAGGGCTAATTTGGTGTGATAGAATAAATGAGAATGGAATTGAATGGTTATTCTTTTTGTTTAAAGGTGGGATGATTTTAATGGAATGATCATCCTCCGAGAATAATGATTCCAACTTTAAAATTGACACCAAACACGAGAGTGAAAAAAAAAAATTTATTCCATTTCACTTTCTTTTATTTTATTCCATCACGCCAAATTAGTCCTGAAGGACTATGGGGGGGGGGGGGGGGTGGAACCATTGAACAGTTGCAAAAAATGAAAGTGAAAGCAGATTAGTTTCGAGTGAATGGATACTCTAAGATAGAGCGAGAAAAATTAAATTTGACTAATTCAATTTATAAAACGTTGGAACAATTAGAAAACTACAAAAATGAAACCATTAATTTTAAACAACAAATGGCAATTACTCAAGTCGGACAAGGAGGTTTCCAACAAGCCTTACAAGAAGCTCTAGGAACTCTGAATAGTTATTTTATTAATGAGTTACATTTACGTACCATCAGTGTCAATAATGGCATCTTTGGGGCAATAAAATAAATAACTGATTAGTCCTTCTTTGACCCATCTTCCTCTTTTACAAATTTTCATTCCCAAAAAATAGACGAAATAAAGAAACAAAGACAAGTGAACTATTATAGAAATTTTAAATTAAACATTATTATAAATTATGCAAGATTTAAATTACACTACTATCTTTTATAAATTGCAATATTATAAATATTATTAAATATAATAATAAAAATAATTAAAACTTTCTCTTTCTTTATCTAACTTAGTAAATTATAAATTTATTTTCTTCTCTCTTATCCAATCGAAAAAAAAATAAAAAAAAACATATATATAAAATAAAAAAAAATTTCTTCCCTAAAAATATCACATTTATCCCTTATTTTCTCCCTTTCATTCAAATTTTTTCTTACCTACAGAGCAGAGCATCAAAGTAAATCTAAATTAGAGTAAATATAGATTGGAGCGATATTTGCAAGTCCAAAGAAAGTAGTGGTTGTGGAAAAAACATTTGTTCCGAAGCATGTGTAACACCTGTTTTTTTTTCTTTTTTTTTCAATGTAACACTTGTTTAATGATGATCAAAATGGTTGCTCTTTGGGCAAAACAATCTGTCCTTTAGTCCTTGTATATATAAATAAAGCTGGTTCTAGCATAAATTTTTACAGCTTGGAGAATTAGGTAGGCCCACGTAGAAGCATAATATAGGTTGTCGTAACAAGAATTGTTTTATATTACCAAACGGTGTTCTAGCCCAATAACTTTTTTTTAAAAAAAGTTAAGCAACTGACATCAGTAGTAAATATGTACATAGGTCGGCCTCTTCGGCCAAGCAGTCCAATGAAGTGGAAAAACAAAAACGAAGTCCAAAATAGGCAAAATACAAGGGAGAAGCCTAGCCCAGTGAGACAAAATGAATATAGGACAAGCCTAATCCATTAAATCTAAACAGATAACCACAATTAACAACCCGAATTAGCCGTTAATGGTGAGTGTCTGAGTATTGATCTGGTTGTCAAACCCTAGCATTTAGGCGATAATCAACAACACTGAGTTTATTAGTTTAATTTTTTAAGTTAAATAACTAGTGTCTTGTATAAATAATATCAAAAGTAGACACAATTTTTGATTTGATGTCACGTTAAGTGCTCACTTGAAGTGTGTCAAGTCATCCCGCCATTAAGGTGGACAGGTAATTAGGCCTAAACCTCCATCCTTCCCTAACTTTGTTATTGCTAACTTTTCGTCCATTCATAATCCTTCCTCCCACATTTTTGTTGGTTGGTTCCTTACTAAGGGCTTGGTATTTGTTTTGTTTCAATCCGAAACAAACACAAGTGTGTTGTTGTCAGGAATATTTTGAATAGTAATCGAAAATATGTTTCGTCACTTGTTAACTTTGTGGAAAATATATAAAAACACTAAATTGATGTTTCGATTATTTGCAACTATTTACGAAACAGCACGAAGCAAAACAATTTTTATAAAACACATATTTTTTTTATTTTATTTTATTATTATTTTTTTACTGTGTACTAAATACACTGATAAAACAAAAATATCAAAAACAAAATTCTCATCAAACGTGCCTAAATGATCGATTTTCAATGTAAAATATTCTCTCAACTATCACTGAAGCACTTCTCAAACTGTCCTGACATAATTTTTCCATTATATTTCCAATCACTATTTTTCATGTGACTTGTCATTTGGGATAAGTTACCCAGTCAAGACAGTCATTGATTCTCTCACGCAACCAAAAAATTGATGTTCTTTATTTCAATGATGCACCATATCACAACCATAATTTTCTCCATCGTCATTATTCCTAATATTGTGTGGAATGTCATGCCCTTATGTGGTTTTCACACTAACCCCTTCAATTAAATGAGTTGTACAACATATGAGCATTCACAATTCTCACTGTAAAAAAACTATTGGTGCGCAGAAAGATGGTGAACGATTAAAAATGCAATGTAAAGATTGTAAACGTTCATATACCACATTTATATGTAGAGGAGAGAATCATTCAATCCAACCAGCATACATTTCTTATTTTGCCGCCTATATATATATATATATTTTTGCACTTCTTCTTGAAAGTAAAAATTATATGCATCAATCGATGTAAGGTATCATCTAAGTGATTAATTAAGGTAAAAGATCTTTTCCTCTTGATGCCACTCAACTTATCCTATGACAACCAGCCGTTGGATCTCTCATTTACTACTCAGAAAGGGATCTCAGCCATTCCCTTACCGATAGTGGAGTATATACGGGATATTATATATATATATATATATATTGATTGATTAACGCGTGGATACGCTGAGAGGGTTCGACCGTTCAAGGAAATGCCGCTTAAACCAAGACTATCTTTTCTCGCCGGTCTCCACTTAAAACCAGTCCAACAAAGCCTTGTAAGATTCCCTACAATTTTCTTCAGTCACAAGGTGTTCGACATTTAACTCCTGTGCAATTGTATATAAGGGATTCAATTCCCCCACTTCTCTCTTCATCGTTATCTACTTCGGTTGCGTCTCATTTCTTTCTGTCCGAATACCTTTTTTATGCGTTAATGTTTTGAGAGCTGCAATCAAGACACTGAATTGGTGGTGAGTTTGTTAAAGATTGCTATTATAGTTTATCGATTCGATTTTTTATCTCTGAATTGATTTTAAAATCTTGAATAATTAGTTTCCTTTTGGGTTCTTGGATTTATTTATTTTTTCTCGGTTTTGGTAATCGAATTTGGCGGATGTGAGATTCTTTAATTCTAAAGTTTCCATTTCTCTCTCTATATATATAAATATTGATCTGAGGCGAATATTTTTTGGAAACCGCTATTTGTAATTTTGTACGAGGTTGTAGAATCGCAAGGGAAATGTTTTGTTTCACTCTTGAGACTTTTCTTGAGTTCTTGAGTTTTGCGCTTTGGAATTGATTGTTTTATGCAACGTAGATAGATCAAGTCGATGCAGTTGAATGATGGTCGAGGATATCAGCTGATATGTTTTCTAATTTAGGATCAAGTTTTGAATTTCAGTAAAGAAGCAAAAAAACAACTTGGGTACTTGGGGATCTATGAACCATGAATATTACTTCACCTGGAGTTGGATTCATATTGCTATCTTATTCAAACGCTTCTTAGATACTTGTGGAAGTATGTCTGATATTTGCTAATACTTTGTTCGGTAGGAAGGAAGGAAGGAAGAAAGAGGTGTGGAAAGAAAATAGGAAAGAATAAACAAACTGTCTTTGTTCGGTAGAGATGATAAAGTATAATAGGAGGGATGTGTCATCCTTCATTCTTTATAATTTTTTATTAGTCCAAAAATGGACTGAAGGGGGATCCATGAACCATGAATATTGAAGGTAGAGGTGTGGAAAGAAAATAGGAAAGAAGGGACAAATTTTCTTTGTTTGGCAGAGATGATACAAGGAAAGAAAGTATAATAGGAGGGATGTGTCATCCTTCCTTCTTTACGGGCCAGTTTGGTTGAATGGAAATGAAAGGAAAAGAAAAGAATGATAATGGAAGGAAATAAAAAAATGTGTTGGGTAGGAAATGTTAGATCGAAAGGAAGGGAAAATGAAGGATTTCGATGGATAGAATAAGACATGAATAGTAGCTTTTGTTATCCTCCCAAAAATGGGAGGAAAGAGTAATATATTTAATGAAACTTTGTTAATATCAAATTTGCCCTTATTTTTATATAAAAAAAAAGACTTTATGAAAAAGGTTATGGTTTTAAATTCATTACAATAACTTCATTTCCTTTCTTCCCCAAACATGATTACTATTATTTCCTTTCTTTTCCTTTATTACTCAACCAAACACGACAAGCAATTAACACTATCCTCTTCTTTCCTTTCCCTCCTAACTAATGTTATCATTTCTTTTTCTATTCCACTGTACCTACAAATTTTCATCTGTCAAAAAATGGGCTGAAGAGAGGGAGGAAGAAAAGTGGATTATTATAGAAGTTTTAAATTAAATACTATTCTAAATTACACAAGAGTTTTAAATTATAGTACTATCCTCTATGCATAACAATATTATAGATATTACTGGACATAATGGTGAAAACAATTTAAAACTTTATCTTTCCTTCTCTCGTAATGAACATAATAAATTGTGAGTTTAATCTATTCTCTTCCATCCAACCTAACAAAAAGAAGAAAAGATACAATCTCTTCCCTAGGGAAGTCTCATCCATCCCTTCTTTTCTCCATTCCATCCAATTATTTTTTTCCTACCGAACAGAGCATAAAGGTATGCATAATGAAAAATTATATATTTATATCTATATATATATATATATATATATATTTTTTTTTTTTTTTATTATGATCATGAATGCATAACTTCTCAATAATTTGGGGTACATACTAAGACCATGTTAACCATAACATTTATTCAACATTATAGTAAATAAACTAAGAAAAGTTAAAAAGGCTTTCCAATATTTGGACTCTTTTTTATAAGAAGAAGATTTGAGATGTAGAGAGAGTAGTAGGTCAGTATGTCATTTGGAATTTGGTGATTTGGTCCCAACTCCCAATTACACTTCCATGCGACGTAACTCTCAAAATTTTCACATGGATTTTAGTTATATGTTACAAACATAGGATATGTCATAGATTTATGGAAATTAATTTTATGCCTTGTTCGGTAGGAAAGAAGGAAGAGGTGTGGAGAGAAAATAGGATGGAAGAAACCAGTGTCGTTAAAGGCGCGCCTAGGCTCGAGGCGCAGGTCTAGCGCCTGTTGTTATCCCAGGGTCACTCACTGATGTTTACTAGTCGCGCACCTCACTGATTTTTTTTTTTTATTTAAAAAAACTATGATTATTCTATTTCTTAAGCCAAAAAAGGTACTTTTGGCAACTTAATAAACAAATAAGAAGGTCAGAACGTACGAGAGAAGAAACTTTTGTTCAAAAGAATAAACAAATAAGAAAGCCCAAGAGTCGAAAGTGTCAACCGAACAAAGAGAGTGAGACGAACGGCGAAGCCACGCCAGTTCTTTCTTCTTCTTCTCCTCTACTTCTCTCTCCTCTCTTCACCTCAACTCCTCTCTTCTTATCTTCGAACGGCAAAGCCACGCCAATTCTTTCTTCTTCTTCTCCTCTACTTCTTTCTCCTCTCTTCACCTCAACTCCTCTCTTCTTATCTTAGTTTGCAACTTTACATCTCTCTCTTCGTCTAGTTCTCTTCTCTCTGAATCTTTTTTTTTTTTTTTTTTTTGGGGGGGGGGGGGGTTTTCTTTAACACACACTTTCTCTCTCTTCTCGTCTACTTCTCTCTCTTCATCTACTTCTTCTGTATCTGTTTCTTCTTTTTTTTTGGCTCTGTTTCTTCTTTTCTTTTCTTGTTAACAGTTTCTTTTTTGTTGGTTAGCAAATTTATTTATTTTTGTGCTCTGTTTTGCCATTCAAAATAATAAATTCTGCTTTGCCTTTGAAGAAAACAAATTTGTGCTTTGTTTTATGGTTGTTGGATGATTGTTTAGTTGATGGATTTACTTTTTTATATTTGATATTAATTTTTAGAATATTGATATGACTTATGAGATATGAATGTTCTTATGGTAGTTTAAATTTAAAATTGTGCGCCTTACTTCACTTAGGCTTGCCCCTCGTCGTGCGCCTCAGGCCTAGGCTCCAAAAGACCTCTAGCGCCTTGTTCGTTAGAGATGATACAAGGAAAGAAAGGATAATAGGAGGGATGAGTCATCCTTCCTCCTTTACAAATTTTCATTTATTCAAAAATGGGCGGCAGAGAGAAGGGGAGACAAGTGGGCTATTATAGAAGTTTTAAATTAAATACTATCATAAATTATACAAGTTTTAAATTACAATAATATCCTCTATAAATTACAATATTATAGATATTACTGGATATAATGGTAAAAACAATTTAAAACTCTCTCTTTCCTTCTCTCCCAACGAACATATTAAATTTTGAGCTTACTCTCTTCTTTTTCATCCAACTGAACAAAAAGAAGGAAATGCACAATTTCTTCCCTAGGGATGTCTCATCCATCCATTCTTCTCTCCTTTCCATCTTAATTTTTCCTTTCCTACTGAACGAAGCATTGTCATGATATTATGTCTGTATATCATGAAAATCATCTTTTTCTTTTTCTTTCTATTTTTTATTTTTATAGTTCTCTTCCTTTGTACCTATAAATGCATGTATTGTTGTCATTGCCACAGTGTCCTATTTTTAGAGTTCGTCGTATCAGTGTGTCCACGTGTCCACGTCGCACATATATCAACACTTCATAGCATGGGTGTGAAGGTTGATATATTTGTTTTTTCCTTATAACATTTTAGGGATAGTTACTATTGTGGTGCAGTTGTTTGTGGTACATCAAAGATCACATGGTAGACAGTCTTCTTTATGCTAACAACTACTGAAACTTTATATCAATTCCATGTTTTATGGGTTTTATAGACAAGATATTGTAGAGTTATGATGAGTTAATGCATGAATTTTTTTTTGCATATTCAATCCAATCTGCTTTGCATATAGGACCAAAATCACACATCCCTCATCAACCCTGAAAAATGCAACAGCTTGGTTGGTAGGCCTCTTGAATCTCATACTAAATATGGGCTCAACTTCTCATATATAGGCCCACAGATTTGAAGTTTGAGTCATCAAATGAATTCCTCGTAAATAGTTTCTTTTCCTAGAAGATCAACCTCACAGTAGAAATGGGGTCCAGCCTCGGGCCATAACAAATGTCTCAGTTGAGGCTTGACCTTCAACCACTAGCTCTGTGTGGTCTTCTTTAGTTGCTGAATGAACCAACTTATAATTGGTTTACTACCCTATCAGAAGCCTGCTCTACAATCTAATCAAGCCCTGAACCATTTGACCGAAACAAAACTGTTGCTCAAGCTCAACTCATCAATACTGGAAAAGAGCCCAAAGAAGCTGATCAATACGCTGGTTTCAAGCTTTTTACAAGGCAATTTATTCATTTAACAGCTTTATCAGTGTAGATACGTGAAAATTATTGGCTAAATCTAAAATACAATATTACCGTTGTGAAGCATCTAGAATAGAAAAAATATAATTCTTCTGAAATCATGATTTAATCATCACATATGAGTATCTAATTACATTTGAACAGTAGGAGTTCATCACAAGATGTCATTGTTCCATTCTAAATAGATGGACAAAACTAAAAGCTGATCATTTATGAGCACCATTTGATACTACTTGTCAGCATTCTAAACAAAAATGGTACCTTACGACAATAAGAGCCCGTTTGGGATTGCTTTTCAACTGCCTAAAAACGCTTTTATCTTAAAAAAATTGCGTTTGGATTTGTTTGGTAACCATTAAAAGCTTTTGAATGAATCTAGAATTTGGAGCTTATAAAACTCAGTAGAGGTTAAATATATTAGGTAACTCTTTTTCCTTGGACAATAGAAGTGTTTTAAAAAATATTGTTACCAAACAAATTAAAAAATAATTTAATTGTGAAAAGTAGGCGGAAATAATTTAATTGTGAAAAGTAGTTATTATAATGGGTCACCAAACACTAACATGCTTGACAGCTCTACTGACAAAGCGTTTTTTATTCTAACAGCAACGCCAAATAGGCTATAAAAGATATGACATGTTGAAGAAAAAAAAAAATCCCTATGCAGCTAGTTGGGCTCTTTTGATCTCTCATCTGAACCCTTATGGGTGCACCTACTTCAATTAGTGTACAATGTAAAAAATGAATGAGTTTTCTGCTTCTTCTTCCTTTTCTTGTTTCTTTCTCTACATACTATATCGTATCAACTCAAATGTTTTTGAGTCAGATTTTCTGGTGGCATATAATGTTACATATATCTCTTCTCTTACAGTGGTTTTACTTGATGATGAAAAAAAATAAAATAAATTGCTTCTAATATATTTATTGGTGGTATCCAAGAAACAGCACATGCCTAGAACATTATAATAGAATTTTAGATTTTGAGATATTGTCAGAAAAATATGTCCATTTTTAATGAAGTATAAATGAAGATTTGTTTTTGTTTTAATCATACCTGCAGCTTCCACCTTTGACATGGCTGTGTTATGACCAATTGAACTACAATTCAAGGAAATAAGGTATAAAGCCTAAAAGTGCTCAAAATAAAATGAACCACGGATTGTGGGAATATGGAAAATATAGTGAAGATACTAAAGTCTTCCTGCCAGAAATGGGAAAAACTGTAAATGGCCACTTTTCCTTTACTTTGTGATAATAGATTAAGCATCTAACAAGGCATAAAAAATTTAAAACTTTCAGTTTCTCTGCTACATTTGTTTGCCCCACATCTCTATTAATTTTTAGTATTTTCATTGCCATACAGATATCTCTTGTTACTTTTAATTTCTGAATCAGTTTGCAATTTCAGGAAGCATGCATTTAACTTCATGCAAGTTGTGAGGGCGAACGGTCAACATATATGTTTGTCATCGCATGAGAAAATCAGCTATTCCCCATTTAGAATCTAAGCATAACGATTGTGTCTACAGTGTTGCAATTTGAAGCACATTTCCTGATTTATTAGGAAAAATGCTGTTATTGGTTATACTTTCGCAAGTCACATTAATTTTTCATAATTGAGGACTCTTTTGACTGGATCTAATAGCGCTAGTGATTTTGGGAAGACAGACAGCTCTTTTGTTGGAAAGAATACCAGTGGAGATAGTCATGCACGAGCCTGATTCTGATATTGTCCGGTGGGGTCTTAATTTTCTTGACGTTGACCAACTTTTTAATCCTGCTTATTATGGTGACAGTAATCATTATGATGTGAACATCTGTCGCGAGCAGTATATCGGAGATGGTAATTATGATACTGAGTGTAGCAATGTTGAGAATGATGAGGTTATTGCACATACTCTTCAAGATGAACTGTCACAATTATCAATTGCGGAAGGAGATGAATCTTCACATGCGATGGAGGAGCACTTGCAAGCATCCACTGTTTCTAGGGATTATTGGCCTAGTCCATCAACAAGAAACTTTTATTCTGGTATTGGGAAACAGCTGTTGCTTGTAAAATATGTCAATTGGTCTGGGATGTTGGTTGCCTTAGTTTTTTTTACCTCTTCTTATAACATGTTTTACAATTTTCAGGCCTCGAGGATGGTCAGGGAGAATTTGATGATGTGGGACCATCAAGTTCATGTTCTAGCCCTGGAGACAAATCATATGATGGGGAAGAGTATTTATATTCTCTGGAGATAGCTGATGAGTCCTCGCTTGATGGAGAAGTAGGCAAGAGGTTGAACCAAGTGGTTCCTGTTCCTGTAAGTGTAACCTATATAAAGTATGACAATGTTATATGAAACTTCTTCTTGTACTATATTCATACAAAAAAATTTTAACATTATTTTTTTTCTTTCCTTAAGCATGTATAATTTAAAAATACTAATGGATCTTTTTGCTTCATAGCTATCTATATATTGTCAATTGAAATTTACTGATTTTTTGGGGTGGGTTTGGATGCAAAATCCCTCGGACATTTTTATGCAAGCATCAGTTGTCTAGTATGCTGCGTTAGGTCACCCGATTTAAGGCTAGTTTTCCCACTTGAATGGAGAGTTGTGGTAGCTGATGCAAACAAATACAAAGTGCTAGAAATTTCATTTTTTAATACTCATGCAACAAAATGGCTTGCCTCTCTCTCTCTCTCTCTCTCTCTCTCTCATTCATTCATTAGTTAGCTTTCTTCAGCTCCAAAGTCTGAAATTTCATCCATCTTGGTTAAGCGTGTATTATTAGTAGCGTACATATGTCATTTGGGAAATTATCTGCAGTATTGTGGAAGTCAGTTTTTATTATTGTAGTCATATTCTGATAGTTTAACTATTGGCCAATGACATAATTTGGGAAATTTTTATTTTTTGGGTGCACATATGGGCATGCATACATTCGCCAATCTGAAGATTTTTTCAGTAAACCTTTTAAATATTACTTCCTGAATAAGAAGACAGTTTAAAGATAATCATGAAAAAATAGTAAAGATTCCAGTACGGAATTATTTGCAGATATATCCTTGAATTTAATTGATTGGTGGTCTTACTTCTAAATTGCTATAACTATATAAGAAGCTTTAGAAATAATAATTCCAGATTGAGAGAGAATATCTTATTCTTTTATGTCATCCAAAGACATTAGTTAGAGATCAAAAGTTGCTAAACCATATTAAATTCCAGATTCTGTCTGCATTTCTCTGTCTGACTGTTTTAATCTGCAGTGCTGCCTGTTGATCATTTTTTTTCTTCCTTTTTTTTCATGCTATTATGTTTTATAATTTAATTACTCATATGATGCAATCTATATCTATTTACATTGTGGCCTCTTGGATTCCTTTGAAGGGTCTTCTCCGTGTGTTTCAAATGCTTGCACAAAAACTTTATCAACATGCTTCACGCCATGATTTTTTTGGTTCTTTATTAAATATATGAACAATTATTTATCTGTAGTATTATGCATTTTGTGTATAAATGTTGTTCGATATAATAATCTATAAAAAATTTGTAATGTGTGTGCTTACATGTTTTTAACATGGCTCTAACCCTTAAAATTTACCAGACTTAATACATAATTCATTTTTGACATTGATTTTATGCAGCATGTACCTAGAATTAATGGAGATATACCTTCATTTCATGAAGCAACTTCTGATCATCAACGGCTGACAGATAGGTATTTTCTGATTCCTCTAGTTATTTGTATAAGAGATTGGATATGAATCGTATCATCATGAACAATCCTTGAGGGAGTAGCCGTATTTTAATGGCATTTTGATTCATTAATGTTTTTAGCATGCTGAGCTTATCTAGGGGTGAACCAGTGGGGGCCGTGGTTCTTCCTAAGTTGTTGAAAATCTAAATCATTTTTTATTATTCTCCCTCTCTCCCGGCACCATGCGGTACCAAAGGAAAATATCTCAAACCGTTGACCCTTATCCACAATGAAAATAAATAACTTTCAAAAGAAGGAGCAGGCGAATGATAACCTATGGAATATTTAGAACCTTCCCATCTCATTTGTCTATCCTTATACGTGTCTCGGTATCTGCGAGACAACCTTATGCATTACACACTTGTCAACAAATAGGTGTTCGTAGATTGTTCGCACACTCCGGCAAGAGTGAGTACAGCAAGGACATTAAGATCACTGGTATATATTAAAATTTTGAGAAGTTAGAAGTTTACAAGGTAAACTTAGTAATATAATTTTTTAGATACCTTTACATATGCTGCTTTCATGTCATTTTCTTGTTGTTTTTTTTTTCTTTTTCTATTGAATATGTCACTTTAAATACTATTCAAAAGGATATTTTGTGGTTCAAAGCCATGCAACTTGTCCTAAATCTATATTGTTGCATATGTTGTGTGGAACAATTACATTTTTCCATTAAAAAGCTAAATGTAGACACACGAAGTAATCGGCCCATCCTCAGAATTACAAAAAAAATTGAAATACCCATAAGTTTTCATCAACCTCAAGCATTTTGCGTTTTTAATATATTAAAAATTACTGTATGATATCTCACTTCCCATGCGTCACACTGGTTGGACTGACTCAATGGAAATTGAGGCCTAGGACAAAACATTCCATTAAATTTCCAATAATTTTTTTAAGGCATGAGATTTTTAGTTTCTTACTTAATTGACTTATGCTTTAAACTTTTCAGCTGAAATAACTTCATTCTTGCTAACGATTCACTTTTCATCGTTAGCAAGAATGAAGTTTTTTCATTTTGTCGTTGGCAAATTATTTTTTTATTTTAACTCTAATTTACTTGTTGGCCTTCAATAATTTTGGAGAATTTCCAAATGCCAAACTTTCATGTAAAATATGATTAATCTTAAAAATTAGGGATTTGATACTAATTGTACAAATTGTGAGTGAAAAGTATTTATAAAAAAGAAAAAGAAAAAGTGAGTGAGAGTAGTTTAAAGGTAGAAGATAAAGTGGTAGTTTTAAAAAAAGGGTAAAGTACAATGACACCCTCTGGGGTTTGCCATAAGGACAGTCATATACAAGTTCGTCTATTTTTGGACAATGACACCCCCTTAAGTTTGATAAAGTTAACAAAGACACCCCTGGACACATTTGACAATGGTGAATTGACCTTATTACCCTTTGATACATTAAATTAACAATTTATCCAATACAACCCTTTCTGATTGACTGAAATACCCTTGAAAATTAATATATTCTCATACTAATAAATCAAACACCCCACCACCACCACCACCACCACAGCCCCACCACAACCACTTCACACCACCACCACTAACAACCATAGGTGTGCGATGGTGGAGGTAGACAGAAAAAAACCCCTCCCCCCTTTCCCTCTCAATGTCATCTCCTAACACCACCACAATCACCACCATACTAGACACCAACCACCACCACAATAGAAAGAAAAAAAGAAAAGAAACAATCCAACCCAAGCACCACCGCAATCACTTATAGCCGCTGCCGCCATCACCACCAAGAAAATCGTCGTCGTCGTCGTCACCTACGTCGTTCAACCTGACGCCGTCGATCTTTTGAGTTAACTCAGCGCGTCATCATCCTTGGGTTTGGATGATGGATGATTGAGGGAAGATATGGTGGTGAAGCATGAGTCAGGGTACTGAGTCACGGAACAGATAGAGATCGGAAGGTGAGAGCTCGTCAATTCGATCCGATCTGGAAGACCGTCGAGAATGAAGGGCTTTGAATCAGAACCCACCTTCAGATGAGGCTCGCGTTTTTTGATATTGTCAGCCCCAGACGCGAGCGAAGTGGCAATTGCCGTTGAAGATGACTGAGGACACCGACGGCGTCAACGACGTTGGGAACTCATCTCTCACCCTCCTCAACACCCTCGAATCAATCGAACCAAGCCTCGATGGATTCGCCACGCATTCAAAGTTAGGTTCACTAGAAGTCATCATTTTTAAAAGTTAGTTTTCCAAAATGGGACAGAGGGAGTAGGAAACAATTTAGGGAAAAAATTATATAAGGAAACTTATAAAGAATACAAGGGAGGGAGAAAATTCGGCTTGGTTCACATCACACTGATGTGAAGATTAAATTGGTAATATTATAAAAAGTAGTACATTAACTTTTCAATTGGACCATTATTTTGGGACAACTAAAAATGGAAAGGTGGACATTTATTGTGGGACGGAGGGAGTAATATTCTTTATATGTAATTTATCAGTTTATCTCATCCCAAAAATATCAATCTCTCTCCATATGTATCCACCTATCTCTACATTGATTTATATGCATGCACATTATTCTGTTAATATATATTATAATATACAATGTGCCCTTCCTGAGAAAATTTTCTGGCTCTGTCCCAACCCGTGCATGTATTCCCACTTCTGGTCCTAGGATTATTTTTACTGAGAGCATTAAACACTACAAAATGAGGAGGATTCAGGACTTACCTCATAATTATCATTCTATTTGTTGGAATTTGGATTTCTATAGCAATTAATAACCAGAACAGGATTAGCCAGAAAAATTTTCAAGCCGATATAGAAGTAGAAATCAATGCTTGTCTGTAAGGTTCACTAGCTTAGACTTTACAATCTCTTGTTCGACTCTCTATAAAATAATTCTTAACAACCATGGGGATGATTTTAATCCTTTGTTTTGCAAGTGTCATACAGCATTTCACATTAGCATGTGGCTCGTGCTAAGTTTCTATTCATAGGCAGCAGCTGTGTAGAGAGATCTTATCTTACTCTTGAAAAATCTACAAGAGAAACTGAGGCAGGTGTTGATGCAATCAAATAGAGTCATATTCATGTGTACCTTCTAATTTTGTTTTTTTGTTTTTGTTTTTGTTTTTTTAATACTATCAAAATATCTTTGTTCTATATTTTACGAATGTAATGTTCATAGATTAAAAAAAAGAAAAAGGTTGCAAATTCAAGAGTTTTCTTGTCGCCAAAACTCATTATAAGCACATGTGCTATTTATTTAAGTATCTTTTTTGGGTTAAAAGGCGATTCAGGGGATTGTGTCCCTTTCAGATCATAGGAAGAAACTGAGAGAGTAAGAATGATTCAGGGGATTATGCTAAGTAACTAAGTTTGCCGATTTAAAAAACTTCAAGACTGGCAATGTTTATGATTAAGGTTTAGAGTAACTATAAGAAAGGTGGATTGTAGATATGGAAGGAAGCCTTTCTCACTGAATCAAGAAGTTTGATGTATCATAATGGGATACTATGCTTTGCTTGCTTCATTTTATGGGGATACCATGCTGTTTTGATTAGCAAATTGCTTCGTTGTATATTCTTCCATTAGAGGTGTAATACATGTATTAAACTTTTTTCCAATTCAGATTGCAATTATATGACTTGATTGAGCGAAAGGTTCAAGGAGATGGAAACTGTCAGGTAAGTGCCTTGCCTTTCTGTTTCAGTGAGATGAATTCAAACAATGCTAAGCAAGAATTAAAAATAGTGCTTTATGTTGTGGGAAGTGACAGGAGCAGGTCTTGCATTTGTATAGGATGCCAGATATTGTGGACCTGATGACTATTAGAAATAATATTATTGGAAAAAAATATTGTGCCGACATTACAAATTAGATGTTATGATTATATATATTTTAAAATTAAATAAAAGGGAAAGAAAGGGTAAGAAACTCATATACCTCTTCTTGTTGTTCGTTCGTGAGGTGCCCCCCTCCCCCGCCTCATTTTTTGCTTCAAATATATATATATTTTTCCAACTGCTCATTTATCAACCAAAGTTTCAGGGTTTTTAATAAAAAGAAAAGCTATGCCAATATTTACACTAACATTTCCTTTTTACGCATCACATTTCTTTGGTCAAGAGTTAAATATTTAAATTTTCAAGATCATCTTCAGTATCCAGGATTTCATTTGTGGAACTGGAGATGACATTGAGCCGCTAGTGTGCAATATAAATTTGTTGTGCTCTAGCTGGTCGTATCCACTGTTGGACTTTGCTCAGAGACTGAAATTTTATTTGTTGCTTTAGTCTTGATTTCTTCATCAATGTCTTCTTCAATTTTTCCAACATTTGCCAAATTTAACAATTGCACCAGTACTTGAATTTGTATTTTCTCGTCTTTCAATATATTTTATTCCCTTTAACTTTAACCTTTTCAACTTAATCTTATGCTTTTAATTACTGCTTCTTCCATCCCTTAACCTTTTCAAATCAAATTATTCATTCTCATTTTTTTTTTTTTCCCCTGTTTTTGCTTCAAGATTACATTTCATATCTTCTTCTTCAATTAGACCTCCTTTTTTTAATCCTCCTCCAACACTGTTCATCATATTTTTTTAACCAATCTTCCTGATTCTGTTTTGGAATGTCATGACCTTTCCTATGTTGGCTAAAATGATGGTGGAATATATACATGTGTGCACGTATATATATCCGGGGTTTTGTCTGTTGATGTTTGCTTCTTGTTATGTTGCTTTATATGGTCTCAGTGGTTCATTGATTTCAATCCTAGTTGAGTAGGGAATATTTGCCTATTTTTAAGCTGTATCTCCTTTGCTGTAATTCTGTAGTATTGAATGACTTTTGCTTATCAATAAGTCACTGAGTATGTCAGCTATCACATGCTGACATACTAAGTGAAACCATTGGCAAATCTGATGTAGGTTGTCTGAAGCCATAGTTTTGGATTTCAGATAGTGCTAGTAATTAATTATATTAACTAATTTTCCTTTCTTTCTCCTCTAGTTTCGTGCTTTGTCAGATCAATTCTATCGTAGCCCAGAACACCACGAATTTGTAAGACAAGAAATTGTTGATCAGGTGGTTATCCTAAAAATAGCATTTTTTTCACCTCAATGATTTTTGATATTTTTTAGTTCATCATATTTTATAAATTAATACTTCTTCGTATACAATGTTTGGTTATCATCAGCTTACGTCTCACCCAGAGATATATGAGGGATATGTTCCTATGGCATATGATGACTATTTGAAGAAGATGTCCAAGTACTATTCAAATCCTTATAAAGAAAATATTTAAATTCTTTCATTTTTTGTTTTATTTTTCACTAAGAATAGCTGTATTTATATACTGTATAATATTGATTAAACTAGGAGCGGTGAGTGGGGAGATCACGTGACGTTACAAGCAGCTGCAGATTCAGTATGGATTACCAACTAAATACTTTTTATTTTTTGTTCCCTTTTGTCATTTACTGTTGGTTTGAGCACACGTAAGTTTGAATGCAGTGTACTTGTATTGTAATTATTAAAGTTGTAGGATGATGTGCTTTCTTTTGATGATAAATGGAAGTATGGTTTTAGTTTCTGATAATATTTTTTAAAAGCTTATCCACAATGTCAGGATTAGGTGACAAGAATTTATGTGGCAGTAATTAAGTGTCTACTTATTGAATACGAAAGTGAACCCATAAGGGGGCTTAGTGTCAATAACCTTCCTCTGTATTTACTGTTAGTCTGTTTCTGCTGTATATTGTTGCTTCTTGTGTTACATTGATCATTATTGAAATAGTCCTGTATACATGTTATGTGATTTGGGTAAATCGGAGACTTGAATTTGTAGAAAATGAACAAATCTTACTTTACGATAAAAAAAAAAAGTGAAACATGTGTATTTTCAATAGTAGAGAAAAAAAAAAGTAAAAAAAATTCTCTGGTTAAGCTTTCGCATGTTATATTGGCTAGTGTTCTCTCTCTCTCTCTCTTCCCCCCCCCCCCCCCCCCCCCCCCCCCCACCCACCCCCTTCTCCCTCTTTCCCTTCTTAAAGCTACACCTATATTATTATAGCATGTATAAGGTCTATTCTTACATTTGATTTGATAGTAAGCTCATATAAATGCGAGTAATGAAATGGCTTGTGAAAATAAATTTAATTTACCCATGACTAATGTAATTCAACATTTTATTGCAGTATGGTGTAAAAATTTCAGTGATTACTTCATTCAAAGATACCTGTTACATTGAGATTCTTCCGAAGGTCCAAAAGTCAGAACGAGGTAACTTTCGAGGGCTATGTTTCTGTGAGCATTAGTATTAACTTGCTTTTTTGTGTTATGTAGTACTAAAATAGCCCTAATATTCTTTCCAATTATTAATCAATTGCAGCTTGCAGACCACCTGGTAATATCTCTGCTGGGATTTTTGCTCACTTATCTGCTGGCCATTTAAGTTAATTTAATATGTTTTTCTCTTTAAAAAAATGGTCATTCTGTTTTCTTTTACGCTTTTGTAGTCATACGATATTTAATATGGCCCTATAATCATATACGCACTTGTATTGGCTGTCTTCAAACTTTTTTGGGTGAGCCATGGTGGTCCTTACCAAACGGAAAGAAGAAAGATGTATCTCTTACAAGATCTATACTTTTTTAAACTACCTCAAAAGAAATATTGATAAACTTGTGTCTCGTTAGATTCCTATCAACCACTCCTGATAAGCTCTTTGTCCAACACTATCCCTCCATTTGATGGGGTGAAACCCGTTGTCAAATTTAAATCAACAGAGTCACAGGTTATTGGTTCATAGTTGTTTGCTTGATAGTGCCGGAGTAATAGCTCCCCTAATCATTTAAAAAAATAGGAATGACTCAAATTAAGTAGGCATTGTATGGGCTTCACAAAAAACACATCATGTATCTTCTTATAACAAATCAAGCTTTAATAAATTTCTTTTATAAGCATCTTGCAGCGGTGCTGCAAAGTGAGCTCAACACAACTGGGGCATAATGAAACACACTCTCTCTCTCTCAATATATATATATATTTATATATATATATGATTATTTTTGGAAAAAAACACACATTATGTTTTAGTTTTGCTTACAATGTGTTACAGATAGGATAATGTTATGGCGCTTTTTGAGACCATGAAGTTTTTTTTTTTGGAAGGTAACCTTCATAAAGTTATTCTCTCTTAATTTTCTTATGGGCTAAGCCAGTGCATGAGGCTCGTAGCGGTGTCTGGGGAGGGTTAGAGCTTTAACTTGCATGCCAAGTGGCTGTTTCCCGTTTTGAACCAGTGACCTCCAGGTCACTATGGAGTAATCTTACCATTGTGCCAAGGCCCGCCCTCTTCTTATAGCAAACATTAATGATAAGCATGCATTGCATTTTTTATATATTTTCCATGGTAGATAATTTGTAAATATTGTGTTGTGCAGTAATTTTTTTGAGCTTTTGGGCAGAGGTGCACTACAACTCAATCTATCCTCAAGGAGGTAATTTCCCTTGACTTGACTTCAATCTATTTGGAAAAAGGAACTAAAAAAGGAAAAAGAAAATTTTAAACTACTGCCATTGGGAAAAGAACTGTTTGGGAAGGGGTCTTTGGTCTTGCAATGCACCATGTTTCAGTCTGCAAATCTAATTTGATGTTGTATGCGAGGCTCCTTCCCTGATTTAGCCTCAACATTTGCACATAGACGTGTCTGTGTGTTTTTCAAATGAGACATTGAGCTCGACCCTCATGTAGAGAGTAACAGCTAATTACTGGCATATACACCACAAAAAAAAGAGAGTAAAATTTACACTCTGGAGTTGAAATGGGTCGAGGACAGTTTGTATGTTTGCCGTTAGACTATCTTCCAAAGCTTGGACCTAAGCTTGGACCTAGACTGATTTTGCTTCTGCACTTATTTCTGATAAATTGATAATAATGTTCAATTGTTATTGTTATACACACTAATCTCTGTTTCTGATATTGTTCAATTGTTTTGAAACAGATTTGCTCCCTAGTGATTTTAAGAGGAAGAAGAAGTGGTGGAATTTTAGAAATAAACATTAGGAGTGTCCCGTTAACGCGAGCTACAGTTACCTATTTTGTTGTCCGTCATACTTGAGCATCACTTGGTGTGACCGTGTGAGACTGACTTTGCATATTTACATATATATATATATATATATATATATATAGATGCTTTATGTTTATATTTATTTCTGCAACTATTCTGCTGTTTATATGCATGCGATGGTTTTTTTAGTCGCATGCTGAGGCAGTATGAATTATATTTGGAATAAGTTGATTGACAGTATATTTGATTTTTTAATCATATTTTAAAATAATGGAGTGGATGGAATTAATGCATATAAAACTTTTACAATTTATTTTGTTTTCCTGGGATTATGTAGGAAGTGTATACCAAATACTTGCGTTGTACTGAAACAATATTCAAGTTGGGGTATGCAGAAATGTTCTGAATTAATATGTATGGAAAAAAATTAAATTAAAGAGCTGATAAATTATGAGAGACAATAGATTACTCCAAGTAGAAGTCACAAATGGGATTGGTTTTGCCTAATATTTAGACCATACAAGCACATTATCACCTCCTCCTCAAAGGCTTCAGACTCGGAACTTTTTAAATAAGAGAGATTTTGAGGGCAAAGTATTTTTTTCATAATCAATTTCTTTACAATTGTCAACAGTGCAAAGATACACCATTGCTAGAGAAGCAAAACTTGCTCATAATTTAATGCAATTTCCATTTTTGGTCACAAATTTCCGTACACTTAAAAGAGTTCCCTGCAATATTTTTTATATCTCATCATCATACACAGAATTTTAAAAAAGAAAAGGGGCCAGCAAGTAGACATAAGACACTATACATCAGTAATCACACAATTCCAAAAATCCCCCATTTTTTTTCAAATTTTGAACTTTAAACAACTACAAATTCAAAAGCATAACCCTAATCATTTAATAATATATATATTTCTATTGCTCTGGAAGGGCGTCTTCTTGTCGTTTCTCCTCCTCCACCGGCTGCAACAACAACGCCGTGAACGGCATGTGCCGGTACCCATTATCGGGAAGTTCCATCCCCAAAGGCTGCGTCTGGCACAGGTCCAACCTGCAGCTCGGGGGCGGCGCCACCGTGAACAACCCAGCCGAACCATATCCACTGAGCGGCTGGGCCCTACAAGAACCCATCAATAGGGGGGCCGAAACTGACGGAGGAGATGACGATACAGGAATGGTACCGGCGGCAGTAGAGACGGGGTCAGCCGGGACAGTGCCGGTGCCGGTGGCGGCGATGATGGAGGGCTCGGCGTGGCGGAGGAGCCACTCGATGGTCTCGCCGTCGGATCGGTGCCCGAGCTCTCGGGTGAGCTGGAAGATGCGGGCGGCACAGAGCGCCGGCATGCGGACCCGCCGTCCGCGGCCGTTCACCTTGGTGTGACGGTCTTTTGTGGAGACAGATTTTCGATGAAAGACCAACTGATTGTGATTGGTGTTGGTGGTGATGGTTTGCGAAGAAGAAGAGGTTGGGTGGTGGTTGTTGTTGTGTGTTGTTGTGATACCGGGTAGGTTTGGTTGGTCTGTTGATGCGAAATTGTGAAGCACCATCTCTGAAGAAGCCATCGTTTTAGAGAGAGAAAGAGGAGAGAGAGTAGGGTTAGTGGGCGTGGGATTCGATTGACCCCACTGAATGGACCCTTTTTCCTTTATAGTCTCGGGAGGGAGGAAGGTCTTCCTTGACGTAAGAGTTCGGTGGGGTTGGGCTGGTCCACATGGAATTTGGGCCAAATGAATCTATTGTGGGCCCATTTATTTGTTAAGTGGGACCACTATCATATGTTTTCTCAATCGGTTTAGTCCACTTGGAAGTTATTTCAATAGCTCTGGGTTTTGTGTTTTTGCATCAAATCAGTACTACTACGTATACTGTAAAAGATAGCTCGGCAGAACTGGGTGCGTCGATATCATAAATTAATGTATCCAAAGTAAATCTATTGTGTGTTTGTCTAACACCGAATATAGAGTTGGAACGAATTCAAATCGTGGATGTCTTTTCTTAAAAACTGTTTGACTTTGAACAAGTTCACACGGAGTAATAATTTCTTAAATAAATCTTATCATAAACAATTACTTAATGGTCATTACTTTTAGAAACATTAATTGTAAACAAATTTTTAGCCATTGTTAGGGCTGGGCGGATCCAAAACTTTAGGTAAGGAGGGACAAGACTGAAATTTTGTAACAATTTCAGGGAAACATTAGCAATATTTTAGGGGTATGTATTGAAATAAGGAAAAAATAGCTTGACAAAATAATAAAAACATTTAAAATTTAGGGGGCAACATTTTATTACTTTTGCAGTTAAATTTAAAAAATAGCTTGACAAAATAAGTAATTTAATAAAAATAAATAGTTAACAAAAAATATTAAAAAGTAACAAAAAAATATTAAAAAAGGAAAGAAAATTTGAGAATTTTAAAAGGGAAAAAATTGGAATTTGATTCAAAAAAGAAAATTTGACATTTTTTAAAGAAAATTATACGGATTTAAAGAGTTAAAAAGAGAAGAAATACAAAATTTAATAGATAATTTTAGAAAATAAAATTTTTAAGAGGAGCATTATATAAATTTTTACATGTTTTTCATATATACATGTAAAAATTTATAAATTTAGTATATGTATTATTCCCTTTGTCCCAAAATAAGTGTCATACTTTCCATTTTTAGTTGTCATACATCAAAAACCAATACACTATTTTTTGAATATTCCTAATATACCCTTTGTCTTGAAATTATAAAAGCTATTAAAACTTCTAAAAAAAAGCTATTGTAGACCCCACAATTCAAATTTAAATTAGGTCAAGACAAATAATTTTTGTACCACTCATAAATTGCTACAAGGGCATATTAATAAATTTATCTCATACTATTATAAAAAAAAAAAAAAAAAATCATAAAAAATAACACTCTTAAAAAGTTATATTCCCCATAAGCAATATTCTTTGTGGGATGGAGGGAGTATACAGTAAACGGGGTTAGGCCACAGGCACACATATCCCAAACATACACTGGTTCGTCTCAGCAAGATGCATCCGTGTTCGATGCACGTCGAATACAAACATATGCTTCAACACAAAAAATACCCAACTTAGTAGTCAAAACTACTCATTGAATCAAAGACACAAAAAGGTCCTTGTTCTTTGGCTCACTATTTTGGTAAATAATTTATGCTATGCTAGTTATCTATATTTATTTGTTTTTTCCTTTTGCGCGTGTTTTTGCTCATTTTATATTACAAGGGGACCCATTAAATTCAATGTTATCTTTGAAATTCTAAACTTAATCCCCACAACATTTAAAGAGTACATTATTAATTTAGAGGGTGTAACTTTTCAAACGATATTCATTTATAATGAATGTCTTCTTCCAAAATTTTAAAATAAATAAATTTAAAAATTCACATTATTATTATAGGTGAACTACATCAAACCCCTTTTTTTCTATTTGTCTTTTGCATTAGACCCTTCTTTTCAATTTTTTTACCAAAAAACTCCCTCAACTATACAGGGGTTTTTTTTGGCCAAAAAAATAAAAAAGGAGGGTTAAGTGCGAAACGTAGATAGAAAAGAGATTTAATGTAGTTCACTTAATTATTAATTTGCATTTTTTAAAAAAATTAAGTATACTTTAAGAAAAAAAATTTTTAATTTTTTTGTTCACTAATTAGTAACATAAGTAAATTAGTAATTAGTAACATGAAAATGCTAGTAGTCTAATGGCCCTAATATGAGTAATTAAATAGTATTATACAATTATACTCCGTGTGCAATTAAGGTGGCGTTTGGGAGGGCTTCCTAGTACCAAAGGTCCTTTCACTTTTTGTATGAGGCTTTTTACATAAATTATATTAGAGAAGGACCTTTACTACAAAGAAGATATTTGGTGAACGTCAATTTTATAAGTCCTTTTAAATTAAAAAGTCATTTCATGTGCTTGGAGCCTTGGTGACAAAATTCAAAAATCCCTTTCACGAGTAAAATAATTATTTTACAATGTTACCCTTAATCATGGAGATGAATTTAAATTGAACCATATAAAAATTATTAAGACTAAGGAATACAACATTATTCTTAGGGTTGCACACGGTCCGGTTTGGATCAGATTGGGAGCATTTTGGGACCAAATCATTTATAACGGTTCTACTATTTTTGAAACCAGACTGAACCATAATGTCCATGAAACCAAATCAAATCAAACCGCAAAAAAACCGATTTGGTTCGGTTTGTCGGTTTCAGTTAATTTCCTTTTTATTTTATTTTAATTTAGAGGAGGCATAGTTTAAAAATAATAATAATAATAAAAATAAAATAAAAAATCAACTAACATTGATATAACACGCAAAAAAAATAAAAATAAAAAAATAAAAAAAAAATTAAGAAGAAATAAAGGAAAGAAAATTAAGATATATTTGAAAGGAAAGAAAATTGAGATATATTTGAAAAGGGAAATTTGACTTTTTTTAAAAGAAATTTAAGGAATTTAAAGAACAAAAGAAAGAAAGGAGGCACGTAAGAACTTGATTTAGGTTTAGGATATGATATGATATGATATACATATATATATATATATAGTAACGGCTCGGTCTGGGCTGGTCCAGTCTAACACGACCCTAAACCAAGACCGGACCGAAAAATTACGGTTCCATAATTTTGGCCCAGAACCGGATCAAACCGCTATACAACTAGCCCAAACCGCCTAATTCAATATGGTCCGATCTGACTTTTCGATTTACCGAATTTTTTGAACACCCCTAATTATTCCTTCCAATTGTGTCATCGACATTTAATTATATATAAATAACTCACCAAATACTAATAAATTTTATTTGAAGAAAAAAATAAATATCCAATCATATATTTTAAACATGCCAATTGGATCTAGATTTTAAGTACTAGATAAAAAAATAATAATAAAAGAAAAAAATAAAAATAAATTATATACCAATAAGAAATAGTAACAAGATAATTTATCTATTTATTTCCCATATTGAAGCGGCGATTCCGACTTGTATAGTGCACATTTCACTTTGAGATTGTTGATCTACCGTGCAAACAGTATGCCTTTCAATATTATCATTCTCACTAATATAACCTTCATCCTCGTTCAGCATCAATTATTGCTTCTTATCTTATAAAGTTGTGTAATGCCATTGATACAACTACAATCAATCCTTCTGTTTTAAATGGAAAAAGGGCATATATGTTTTAAAATTGCCCAACGAGCTTTCCAAACTCCAAAATAACGTTCAATTATATTTCTTAATGACAAATTAATATAATTAAAAGATTCTCTAGCTCTTCTTGGCTGAAGACTTATTTGGAAGTCTTGTAAATGATAACGTACTCTTTTATATAGTGCTAAATATCCTAACATATTAGGATACCCAAACCTCAACCACAATATTTACCTGTAAAAAAACTTATATTGCGGTTATCAAAATAATATATCGATGTATATAAAGTTTATTTTTAGGATTTCAATACAAACCAATTGGAAGTTTAGGAAAGTTTATCGCCTATGAATGACTTTGTTAAATATACTGTAATCATAACCTAAGCCTTCCCACCCAGCCCAAGCAAATGTGAATAACATGTCAAATGAACAGGCAGCCATGACACTTTGTGTAAAATCTTTTTTACGTCCACGAAATGCAAGTTGTTTATCTACTGAATGATCGCATCAACATGTGTTCCATCAATTAATTGCACCAATACATCCCTAAAAATAAATTGTTATATGTTAGACGGTAAAAAATAGCATATAAATAATTATTAAAGAAAAAAAAAATCAATTACCCGAAAATGGGGCAAATACTTCCAATTGTTGCGTATATGAAATGGAATATTATCAAAAGATTGGGGGATCATAATCGATATAGAGAAACGCTTTCAAGACTATGTTAAAATGCCTACTAATAGTTTCATCATAGCGTTGAAATCGCTCTTGCAACACTGTATTGTTGTAGTTTTGTGGAGTTTGATTAGGTAATTGATTTTGTAGGAAGATTTAATTATATGGAAACTTCAAGACTGCTGAAGTTTAGGAAAAATTCAGTTTTCTGATCTGATTTAACTTCCTTATTGGTTTAAGGAAAATTCAGTTTTCTAATCTGATTTAACTTCCTTATTGGTATTGAAACATACAAAAGGCAAGTTCTTGTAGAACAAGTTTGGGACTTTATAAATATGAACTCTAATCAGATTTTAGAGGGTGCGAGGTTAGAGATAAATTTGTGTCAATACAAGAGAGAGCAATTGAGAGTTATTACTTGACCTTCCCTCCTAGAACTGTTCGTCGTTGGACTGGAACAGGGAGACAAATTCTTGTAGTTGTAAATACATAGGACTCAATCATCGAGATCTTATGGAACTAGAACTTGTAAGCTTTGAAGTAGATTTCATTTATGATACATATACCCAGCCTGATAATTGCAGAGCAGGACATGTTACGTCATGTAGAATCCCCATTGTGTTCCCTGCTCTATTACTTTTAATATCTCAATGAGAGAAACTGTATAACTATGAACTAAGTAGCTGGATTTTGAAATTTCTGTCCCAATTGAGGTGGGGCTGCACGAGGTCTCCAGCTTACCATCCCATTGCCA